GAAAAACCACAAGGTCTGATTTCGTTGTTAGAGACAGTTTTTCACACCCATCGTCTCACTTGGGATGACTGTCAGCAACTCTTGCAGGTTCTTTTTACTTCCGAGGAGCGCGATTGGATTCACCTCGAGGCTCGGAAGCAGGTTCTTGGCACAGATGGCCAACCCACCACTGACCTGGTTATTCTGGAAACGAGCCTCCCGGCCCAACGACCCAACTGGGACCTAAATACCGGCCCTGGGGAAGGAGTTTTAACCAGGTACCGTCAACTTCTTTTGCAGGGCCTTCGTGGCACAGCCCGAAAGCCCACTAACCTGTCTAAGGTGAGTGGAGTCGTTCAAGGACCCCAGGAGTCCCCAGCCTCATACCTAGAGCGTCTGCTTGAGGCATACAGGCAATATACGCCTATAGACCCCCGGGTGCCCGAGAACGCGAGGGCTATTAACATAGCCTTTGTAGGACAGTCGGCCCCAGACATTAGGAAAAAAAAAGATTCAGAAACTAGATGGGTTTGAAGGTAAAAATCTTAGCGAATTAGTTGAAATAGCTCAGAAGTACCTTGCAGGTTGCCGTGGAATACCCCCCTGTTGCCAGTCAAGAAACCTGGCTCTGAAGATTACCGACCTGTCCAGGACTTGCGTGAGGTAAAATGCCCGGGTAGAAACTGTTCATCCTACTGTGTCCAATCCCTACACTACTCAGTCAATTCCCCCAGACCGGGAGTGGTGCTCGGTTTTGGACTTGAAGGATGCTTTCTTCTACATACCCTTGGCCCCGGTGAGTCAACCCCTCTTTGCTTTCAAGTGGACTGATCCTGACAGGGGCTTCTCAGGCCAACTGACCTGGACCCGGCTGCCACAAGGGTTTAAGAACTCCCCTACCCTCTTCGACGAGGCACTGAACAAGGATCTCTTCCCCTTCCGAAATGCGCATCCTGAGGTTACCCTCTTGCAATATGTAGACGATTTGCTCCTGGCAGTGGAGTCTGCTTCTGTGTGCCTACACGTGACCCGAGACCTCCTAACTACTCTGGGCTCCTTGGGTTACTGGGTCTCAGCAAAGAAGGCACAGATCTGTAGTCAAAGAGTGACCTATTTGGGGTACGACCTAAGTGGGGGAAAACGGACACTGTCGGCCAGCAGAATGCGGGCCATCCAGAATATGCCCACACCCACAACTGCACGGAGGTCCTCGATACTCTCACCAGAACCAGACCCGACCTGTCGGATATCCCACTAGATCCGCCGGCCCTCAATTTATTTACAGATGGGAGCAGTTTCGTCAAGGACGGAGTCCGGTATGCGGAAACGGCGGTGGTCACTGGCTCTGAGGTAATATGGGCACAGTCCTTGGGACATGGCACTCTGGCTCAGAAGGCGGAGCTAATCGCCCTGACGCAGGCCCTCCAATGGGGAAAGGGAAAGACTCTTAATATTTACACAGACAGCCGGTATGCTTTTCACCACAGCTCATGTCCATGGAGCACTATACCAGGAACAAGGGCTGCTAACCTCTGGACCTGGAAGGACATTAAGAATGCAAACGAGATCATGTCCCTCCTGGAGGCCCTCTGGCTACCCAAATGTTTAGCTATAATTTATTGCCCTGGGCATCAATGGGATGGCTCAGCGGTCTCGCAGGGAAATAATGTTGCTGATAAAACCACTAAGGAAATCGCCCTAAGACCAGTAGGGCCACTGGAGATTCTCCCGGTTCAGCTGCCGCCCCGGACCCTACCTGACCGTCCAGCCTACTCGGAGAAGGAAATCGAGTAACTGAGAGAGGATGGCTTCCTTCCCCAAACACTCGGCTGAGACCTTCTTCTGAAGACCCATCAGGCTACACACCTCGGAATGACCCGACTCTGCCAACTGTTCCGCCCCATTTCTACTTGCCTGGACTCTCGGCCCTGGCCGATTCTATTGCCTCCAGGTATGCCATGTGTGCCCAAGTTAACGCAGGCACCAGCCGGCCCTCCACTGCTCCGGGCACCCGACGGCAGGAGCAGCAACCAGGTGACCAATGGAAACTTGACTTCACCAAAATAAAACTAACCCGAGGCAAGTACTGATACCTTTTGGTTTTCGTGGACACCCATTCTGGGTGAGTAGAAGCCTTCCCCACCAAGGGGGAGACGGCAATAATTGTTGCCCGGACTCTACTACACCAGGAAATACCCCGATTTGGCCTCCCCCTAGCTCTGGGACTGACAATGACCTGGCGTTTATCGCCCAGACTTCCAAACTGGTAGCTAAGGCTTTAGGAATTGATTGGAAACTGCATTGTGTCTATCGACCACAAAGTTCAGGGCAGGTAGAAAGGATGAATAGGACTTTAAAAGAAACTCTGACAAAATATTCTATTGAAGTTGGCGGTTACTGGGTAGATCTTCTTCCCTTTGTTCTTTTGCGAATGTGGTGTTCCCCCTACCGAAAAAGGCTTTACTCCCTTTGAGATAATGTTTGGGCATCTTTCCCCTTTGATTCCCGCCTCACAGAGGAGGTACGGGCTGAGGTATCTAACAGAAAACTTGCTTGAGACCTTACAGGCCCTTGACCAGGTCCAGGGGGAGATCCGTCAGGAGGTTCGGCCCAGCAGTGGAAACGCTGATGGGGACGCCATCCGCGCCCCCAGTCCTCCCCCTTCTGTACTCTAGGCACCCGGTGGCAGGGACCATACCTAGTGATCCTCTCTACTCCCACGGCGGTAAGATTGGCTGAAAAACCCCATTGGTTCCACGTGACGCAGATCAAGCCCGCCTCGCCAGAACATTCAGAAAAATGGAAGAATCCGCACCAGCCGATGCAGGTGAAGTGGACTTTGCGGACAGACCTCTCCTCTTATGGCATCCTCCGCCGGTGGTGACCATTCTGACTCCAGAACATGAGGGGCCTGAACTTACTCTTGCTTAAACAAGGAGGGTTATGCGCTACCTTGAACGAAAAATGCTGCTTCTATGCTGATCATTCCGGGGTCATTAGAAATAGCTTGGACATTGTCCGAACTAGATTAAAGGATCGAGAGAGGCGCCGCTCCACGAGTTCCTATTGGTTTAATTGGTCCCCTTCGTTGGCTAGCTTGCTCTCCTCCTTGGTCAGCCCCTACTGGGATTGTTTTTCTGCCTTATTTTTGGCCCTGTCCTGCTCTGTTGGCTAACCCGATTCATTCAAAAATGCGTCGAGGTGGTCAAACTCCTAACGCTCCACGCCAGGGCACAATTAGGGTTCGATGGCTACCGCTCTCTCCCTGTCTCAGAATTAACGATTCGATTCCCATTAAGACCAGTAGAGAATGTTAGGCACAACTCTCCAGGCTATAGATTAGCATGACAGGACTAGCGTATCAGAATGTCTATCAGCTGTCTCAGGGCATTCCCTCAGAAAATGGAAAAAGCTTGCCAAAGGCGTAATGGGCAAAAGCTTGTCTAAAAGGTGTAAATTAAAAAGATAGACTTACTGCTAACCAATCTGCTTCTGTATCTCACTTGCTTAACTGCTGCCTACGTGACTTTGTAATTTTCTATTGTTCGCTCACTTGACTGTAAGTTGATTGCAAAGGTATAAAACCACCACTGTTTTTCTTCCAGGCACCGCATTCTTACTAGAATGTTAGTTCCTGCAGGTGATAAACTCCTCTTTAAATTTACCAACTGGTCTCTGGTCTCATCTGCAAAACCGCGGGATACAACAGCTTCCTTGTTGGAAAAGAAAAATCTCCACATTTTCTTTCTCAGGGGAATGGATCTCCTCTGGCCCCTCCTGCCTTAACTGGGTAGAATCTAGTATTTGTGTGTCTGCTGACTGTCTGTTACTAGCTCATTCCCAGCTCTGAGAAGGAGTCCACAAGATTCCTATTGCTCAGGCATCTGTTCAGTTCACCACTGAATAGATGGGCTAACTGGCAGTGCTTGGCCACCAGATGACCTCAGTCAGGTCAGTGGCATTGCAATGCTTGCATCCCATGTCCTGGCCTTTCACTTATGCAGAGACCTGCAGTTTCTTGTGGCAGGAAGGTTTCCATCCCTGGGTAAGATGGAAGCCATATGGTCTAGCTGTGCAGGCCACACAGGCTGACCCTAACAGCAGCTGTCCTGTGTTCTTAGGCTGCTAAGAAACCTCCAGAAACATATTTTTCAGCTCAGTGACAACTTCATCCTCATGTCCCCCCACTAGTTCTGTCTTAGCTTGATAGGTGGCAACTTGGTTGTGGATGGTGGGAGTTCAATGCCTTTCTGGGTCTTAGAAGCAGCCAAGCCATGGGTGAACTTTCCTTAAACTCTCCTAAGTAAGCAGATCCTCACTAGCAACAAGCAGTTAGGGAAATAAAAGCAAACATGACATGGCAAGCAATTTAACAAAATAAAGCAAAAGATGGCAATGCATATTCTAATACTTGAGTAGCAGCTCAGTGTTAATTACATTCAAAAGCTGAACATTAGGAGGCAGGACAGATGATGACGAGGTTACAACACCATTTTGGCTGGAAAAGCAGAACATTGTGACTTATGGATGGAATGTTATTGGTTCAGCAACCCTTGTTGGTAAGATTGACAAGACTGTAAATTCTGTGGTTAGGTTTCTAAGAAAGAATGCTTTCCTAAGAAGCACTCTCTCTCCTAAGAGGCAAGTTACACATTCTAACAGATAATATCTCTGTTTCTCTTGGGAAAGTATTCAAGACAAGGCAAGTTTCCAACCGTGAGTGTTCGGTATCTGAGCCAGAGACCTGGCATTTGAAGCCCAATGGAAGGGAGCACAGAGCCATCTTTAAGCAGTGGTGGACGTATGGAACCTGTTGCGGAGACCACCCTAAATTCTTCTTGGTCTTGGCTTCCTCAAGATATCTCTCAGATTTTTTACATCGTGGTTATTTTGAGCTTTTTGTATGTGGTTCTGAAAGGCATCCAACTATATTGGTGGAACCGGTATCTGGTCAAAGGACTCAGCTGTTTCCCAGGACCTCCCACTCACTGGCTATATGGCCATATCAAAATGGTAAGTTGACTGCCAGGGCACTGTAGTGTGTGTGTGTGTGTGTGTGTGTGTGTGTGTGTGTGCAGTGTGTATGATATCAAGAGTGACAGATGGGTGCATCTATGCTTCTTTTATTAATAGAGATGTGTGTCTGTTTGGAAGAGGTTTGGGGGATTTCTACTGATAGATCCTTAGGAAGGATGGACTTTATGTTACATGGAGATTGCAATGGACGTAACAGTAGCTAAGAAATGCTGTCGTAGGAAATTAAAATTGTGTTTGAATCATCAAACATCATTAACAACACTACTGGATCAGAAACTACCCACATCAGGGGCACGGTGTGAGTGGAAGTTCTGGATTGCAAGGATCTTACTCCCCCTCAGGTCCCAGCCACACTCCCAGCAGAGGGCAAATTATACACTGGACTAGTTCACAATGGGGAAAAGTGCTTAAAGAAATGGTGGAAGGACAGAGCACACCAGTGCTTGCTCATTTCTACCTTTCCAGCAGAAGCATCGGCTGAGTGGGTCTAAACTAGGTGTAATAGTGATGAGTGAGTGACCCCGCATGCACAAGTACTTTGGTCGTTTAGTGAAGTATGCAGAAGAACATGCAGGCAGTTTGTGATGGTGGCAAATTCTCTGTCCGCAGGAGGTTGTGGAGGTGCTGGAGATCATACTGCTGCTGGCACAGCCATCCCCAACGGAGCTGCCTCCTGCACCAGCCCAAAGTTAAAAGTGCCTTGCTTGCAGCAGGCAGGAGCCATGCCCAGCAGCACACACATTGCAGCTACTCTGCACCTCAAATGTCCCCCCAAACCCTGTGGGGCTGGCAGCCACCCAGGGTTTAGGCACACTGGTTCTGGGTCACTGATATGAGGCAGAGTATGCTTTGTGATCACTTGCAGGTGGCAGCACATCCCAGCTACGCCCTTTGCCTGCAGATCCCATCTGGGCAGGGAGAAGCGAGCAGGACATGAGGCAGACACAAGCCTTGCGCTTGAGAAGGCGGCATCAGAAAGTTCTACTAAGGAGAGAGAAGTCAGGCGGCAAAGGCAAGACAAAGAGCCATTCTGGCTAAGGGGCAGGATAGTGTCAGAATCCCGGAATCTCAATTTGAGAAGAGGGAATAAAACTCGGGTTCACAGGAAAGATCAAGCGTTCAGACCATCTGTGGCTTTATTGTCTTACCCAGGTTCCCCACGGGTCTGTACTCACGATAATGCATTACCAGGCAGGCAGACTGAACTCTGCTGCAAAACTTCAACACAATTAGAGAGTTTTCATACACTCCCAGTCACATACAGGTACAGGGCAATTGATGACAGAATGCAGAGATTACAATAAGATTCTGAGGTCATCACATACAGAACAGATAAAGGAATGTCAGTCAATCATACAGAGACAATGAAATTACAATATTTCTGATTGCAGTGTATTGACACTTTAGTTGAGTAACTTGAACCCATCTCCAGGTCTGCTTAGACATGTAAATTCAAGCTACTGAAACTCTGCATGAACTCAAGACTCTTATCTAGACTCTAGACATTTTGAGTGACCAGGGCACATGGAGCCTCTGGGCTATCAAAAGATACTTCCTTGTAAACTGAATTCCAACAATGACTATTTACAATGTATATTTGGACTAAATGGCCTGTCTACTGTAGCTTACAGCTAAAGGTGAGAGAAAGGAGTGGGGGAATGCCATTTTAAACAGTGACTGCTTGGTTTTGAGAAGGAAGACAGCATTTGATCCCACAATGCAAAGGCACACAGAAGTAATGCCTTCAGACAGGATTTATCCAAGTTTTCCCAACAATAGCAATCAAATAAATAGATTTAAAAAATAAAATTCATAGCAGGCAGATCATGCACAGCCTCCCCCTTGACTGATTTCCCTGAAAGAAGCAGAAGGTGAGGCAGGCCACTAAGGAGTACACAGCGCAGGTGAGTTTGGCTCCACAAGATGGCAGCTGCTGAGTTATGCCAAAGCAGGCCCATTGCACTCAATCTTTTGCAGAGTCCCCTTCCAGCTTTTGCTGAATCCCTACTAAAAACAGATTCCGTTGTTCAACATGGATCCTTGCTGAAACTCATCAGCCCTCGCCTTACCTCTCATTGTCAAATATAATTTGCATTGCTAACTGAATAAGCAAACACAATGGCCATGATGTAAACTGCTTAATGTAAATAATGCAGATGAAACCAGAGGAAGAGCTCCAGAATGCAACAGAAATGACAAAAACATATCCATATTGCTATCCAATATGGTATGGAAGATTCTTGGCTTTCTTGAGCATTAACCATCCTGAGTACGCAAAGGCAGTGTTTAGCAGAAATGGTAAGAAATGCTTAACTTATGTCTTTCTGATCATCTCATGGTGTTAAGGTGTTGTAGAGAAAGGCTGTCAAAATTGTTCAAGCATCTGTCTCTATCTCATTTGCTGTAGCTTATGCTGTTGTTTGATGCTGTGGGAATTTTAAAGTCCTTCTATGTATTCCAGCGTCGAGACATACAAAAGCTAGAAAAGTGGAGATGAACAATTTTTTCTCTGTAGTGGCATGCGTGAGCCTTTCTTGATTCTAGCTGCAATAAGTATGCTAAGTAACTGCATGCATATATGCAGGGCAGACCCTACCATTACATAGGATGATGCACCCACATCTGGGAACAGAGAAGGAAGAGTAGTTTTTTTTTTTTTTTTTGCCCTCCCTGCTCCCTGCCTGGCCAGCTGTCCTCCCTTCTATACCACCTTCAGTGGATGCTCTGGATAGATTCACCAGCTGCCCCACACTGCGGGATCTGCTGCAGCAAAGGAGTAGTTAGAGCAATCCGCTGTTGGTGCCACAGCTTTACCTTACTGTGGCTGTGCAGGAATTGTGACAGCTTGAGAACTGGCAGAATTCTTGTGGGAACCCCATGCCTGGAAAGGAGCAAAAGCGAGAGCGGGAGGGAGAGAGTGCATGAGCACCAGAGCAAGCTAGGAAAGTGGCATGCACAGGCTAGCAAAATGATGGCAATAACAGTGGCATCCTCAGCAAAGAAATGGAGCAGCTTTTCTTGTTATTTTAAAGACTTTAGGGATAGAATAGTGGCCACAGAGGAGCTGATGTAGGAAATGCCCTTGGAATCATTTGGAATGACAAACATGCACAGGCAGACAGATATTTTGCAAGATCCATCAGCTGCGCCCCTACCTGGAGTACGACTGCCTGGCGACCGTGACACACACGCTGGTGACTTCCCGCCTTGACTTCTGTAACGCGCTTTACGTGGGGCTACCCTTGAAGATGGTCCGGATACTTCAATTGGTTCAAAATAGAGCTGCCATGCTGCTGACGGGGACGGGGCGTTATGTTCACATGACTCCAGTCCTCCGTCAGCTTCAGTGGCTTCCCATTGAAGTCCAGGCCCAATTCAAGGTGTTGGTGATGACCTATAAAGCCCTAAACGGCTTGAGTACTGGTTACCTGAAGGAGCGCTTACATCCATATGTGCCCGGCTGCCCCTTGAGATCTGCGGGAGAGGCCCTTCTCCGGGAACCCTCCGTGAAAGAAATTAGGAGGGTAGGTACTTGGAGGAGGGCTTTCTCTGCGGTGGCGCCCAATCTATGGAATGCGCTCCCCAGAGAGGTCCGCCTGGCGCCGTCGTTATTTGTTTTTCGGCGCCAGGCAAAGAACTTTTTATTTAGGCTTCATTTTAATTGTTAACAATATCTGCTTATTTATCTGGCCAGGGCGACTTCTTTTATATTGTTATTTATTATTGTTAATTTTATATTGTTATTTTTGTATTTAATTGTATTTTATTTTGTGTTGTGAGCCGCCCCGAGGCTTCGGCAAGGGGCGGCATAGAAATGTTTTAATTAATAAATACATAAATAAAAATGTAAAGATACAAATGTTGAAGCAATGCTGAAGAAGGAATGTGCAAACCTCCCTTCCTCGTATTTGTTATTTGCTTTTCACAAGCTTCTTGTTTTCTGCCTAACTGATTCTGTCCCATCCCATTCCTCCTTCATAGCCACTTGCTGGATTACTAGGACTTCTCGCTAATGGAATGTAGCCGAACAGCATACTTGTTTGTGTACATTTGCTCTTGAAAGTTATGGCTGTCATACCTGGGAGGTGCCTTGAAGTGGGGCCATGAGGCAGTCAGGAAGAAGAGCTGGTGGTACAAGGGGTACTTAGCAATAGCAATGAAGCAGACAACACAGAAAAATCCACGTTAAGGTAGCAAATCTTTTTGAAGTGAATCCATGGAAGAGAGCTCAAGATATTTGCAGAATGGATCACTCAAGACTACAGTCAGACCCAATACATTTTTCTGAATGAGGTTCAAGACAAAATGACATACCCCCTGCATTCTGTGCAAAAAAAACTGTTTACACTTGACTCTAATGATACTCCTTTGCACATATGAATACACGGCAGGCCATGTGGTATATACAGGTCTATCTTCCAATATCTTCCACCACTCATTTCCCCAGCATTTTCCACCTAAGCAGAAGCTATGGTCTGCTAAATAGAAGGGTTGTCCAGAGTACAGGTGATTTAGCACCACCACTAGGATCAGACAGCTCAGACATCTATCTGTCCAAGATGGGATAGGAGGCATGTACTGGTTCTGGTCCTGCTTTATTTTATTTATTATTTATTAGAACATTTCTATGCTGCCCCTTGCCGAAGCCTCGGGGCGGCTTACAACACAATAAAATACAATAAAATACAAAAATAACAATATAAAATTAAAATTAACAATATAAAAAAAAAGTGTTATTTCAAAAGTAGCGCTGGGAAACTTCTGCTCATTGTGTCTGTTGGCCTTCAATGTTCCACAGGGTTCCATGTTAGCTCTCATGTCATTTAACATAAATATGACATTACTGGGAAAGGTTGTCTCAGTTCCAGGTTTGGTGCCACCACTATGCTGATGACACCAAACACTAAATCCTGGTAGAAAACCATTGCCTTTGTGTTATAAAATCAAATCTACATCCCTTTCTCACAAAGCAGCAGAATTCCCAGCCTGGTCCTTGTTTAGCAGTGCTGTTGCCTTAACAAGAGGGCATTCTTAGCTAGACTCAGAAGCTGCTGGAGGCTAATACTATTAGTGAAAAACAAACAATGTCCATTTGTTTCTGAATGGGGCTACCTAAGCATCTAGTACCACAGAGGCAAGCCCCTGCTGAGTGTGGTTGTCAAACCAGATTTCCCAATGGTTCCTCCATCAGACACATTTGCATGTTTAAACATCTCCTGAAGTGTCAAGAATTTGCTAGACTGACCTATCAATACAGCAATCAGTAATATTTTTCCATACTATTGTTACCAGTATTTCTGATTGGTTTAGAACATTATGTCATGCCTAAAGACATCAAGATGCTATTGTACTAAGATTATCTGGAAACTTAACACTCTGTACATGACTAGTGGGTTATAAAATTGTCTGTACATGGGCTCTGATTTTGTAGTTGAGTTTGCCTCTACCCAGTAATATATTATTGTTAGTTACTGCAGGTACTGAGACACTGGTCAATAAAGCAGCAGAGGTTCAAACGCTTGATCTTTCCCATGGACCCAAGGGTTCGTTTCCTTCCATATTGAAAACCAAGATTCTGTTACCATCTAAGCCCAAGCAAGCTCTTCTAAATCAGAATCTGATGTTGGTAATAAACTGGATGAGGAAGACCAAATTGAGACCTAAGCTAGACATGACAGAGATGTCCCTGGTTAGTTGAAAGGCAGGGACTCCAAAAGTGTTGGATGGAGTTACATTAACCCAGAAGAGTCAGCCTGGCAGTTTGGCTGAGTCTGTTCCTGGACTTGGCCTTGAACCTGGATGCCCAGGTTTCAGCGATGGCCTGTGTCAGAATCCCGGAATCTCAATTTGAGAAGAGGAAATAAAACTAGGGGTTGTAGGAAAGATCAATCCTTATGAACCTCCGTGTCTTTATTGTTTATCCCAGGTTCCCGCGGTTGACTCACGATAATGCAATTACCGGGCAGGCAGAGATGAACTCTGCTGCAAAGCTTCAATACCATTACAGGGCATTTATAGGTACACAGGTACAGGGCAATTGATGACAGAATGCAGAGGTTACAATAAGATTCTGAGGTCATCACATACAGAACAGATAAAGAAATGTCAGTCAATCACACTGTAACAATGGGATTAGTATTGACACTTTAGTTGAGTAACTTGAACCCATCTCCTGGTCTGCTCAGACATGCAAATTCAAGCCACTAGAAACTATTCATGATAAGCTCAGACCCTTATCTCAGCTCTAAACATTCTGCATGATCAGGGCACATGAAGCCCTCTGGGCTATCAAAAGATTATTGTAAACTGAATTCCAACAATGACTATTTATAATGGATATTTGGGCTAAAATGGCCTACTGTAGCCTACAGCTAAAGGTGAGAGAAAGGAGTGGGGGAATGCCATTTTAAACAGTGACAGCTTGGTTTTGAGAAGGAAGTCAGGATTTGATCCCACAATGCAAAGGCACACAGGAGTAATGCTTTTCAGACAGGATTTACCCAAATTTTCCCAACACCTGACACTCATTTGACAGCTGAGGCTAGTGCACCAACAGTGCCCATTCCTAGAGAAGTCAGATCTTGCTACAGTCACACATGCCTTAATTACACCCGAGGTGAACTACTGTAGCACACTCTAAAGGAACAAGCCTTCAAAAACTGTTCAGAAACGTCAGCTGGTCCAGATGCTGTGATCCAATGCAGTTTGTTGATGGGGTTTGTTACAGGCAGCAAGTGATTCCTTTGTTACAAGAGATTAACTAGCTATTGACCTCTTTCCAGGCATAATTCACAGTGCTGGTGCAGCCTATAAGGCCCAGATTCTCCCATAGCCCTCATGGGTCTTAAAATATTGAGGGATGCCTTCTGTTGGCACTGTGGCCATCAGAAGCCCCAGAGCAACCTAGAGAACCTTCAGGTTATGGGCAGCACAGAAGTGGAAATTAATAAATAAATAGGCATGATTGGTGAAGACATGCAAGAGGGCCTTGTTTGATTTTGGAATTTATAAACTGCACCAACACTTCTAGATAAGACTCTGGGCACTGAACAATTAAAAGCAATAAAATACAGAATAGCCCAATTCAGACAACTACATAAATCAATTAAATATTAGCAGGTATAGCAAGTTAAAATCACAAAAATATATAAAATAGAAAAACAGTATTCGGTTACTAAAATGTCTAGAAAACAGAACCATCTTTGCCTGACGCCAAGATGATTGCAATGAGGGCACCAGGTATACTGCTGTGGGGAGCCTATCCCACAGGGCCTTCTTGATGGCAGCTTCCATGCTCTGGACCACCCTTGCCAAGGGAGGACAGATTGGGCAAATTTCTGCCATTCTGCAGGCAAGTGTTTGCCATTAAGCTTTTGTTGAAGGCGTTTAAAAGAAAATGGACAGTTCTCCTTATTGTTATGGTGCTAATCCGTTTTTATGGTACACTTCAATTAAGATGTTTTTATTCTTGAATTCACTGTTAGCTACCTCGAGGACAAATCTTTGGCACAAAGGCAAGCTACATGTTTAAATAACTTCCTTCCTTCCTTCCTTCCTCTCTCTCTCTCATTCTCTCTCTCTCACACACACACAGAACCACCTTAAATTAAGTGTAGACTGAGCTCCCCCCCTCGCACCCTGCAATGCCCCCATTTTCTCCTGACTCCAGTTTCTGCTGGACTCTACTCACTACCGCCAGCCCTAGACTTTCTCCCTGGTTTGTATACTGGAAAAGGAAATCAGCAAGCCAAAGAGTGGATACTGCAGTTGGGTGGGCTAGTGGGCAAGCAGTAGGTTGAATAAATTTCCTTGACCAATGCAATGGTAATGTCGGTTGGCTCCCTTTTATCACAATATAATAAGTGCATTGAATCCATCCATGGGAAGGGAAGGGAAGGGAAGGGAAGGGAAGGGAAGGGAAGGGAAGGGACGGGACCTTGGAATGTCCATAAGAATGCCATTGACTGAGGTAAAAGAGTGCAGTTTAGAAATGAAATATTTACATTTGTTTTCACAGGCACTGTGTGCCATTTCATACTAAAACCATTTCCCTCTCTCATTTCTCAAACAATTTAGATCCAAAAGCAATTATAGCCTACAAGTTCCTAATTCCATGGATTGGTATGTATTGTGTCTCACTAATTATATAAATCACTATATTTAATATCCTATTTTTGCACTTATTTGTTTGGCTATCTCAGCCTTCTCTAATCTGGCAGTATCCTGATACATTGGGCTACAATTTCGATCATCCCAGCTCACAAGACTAGCACATTTCTACCTACTTTACTTGGGAATTAGAATCTTAAGGAACAATTCTACACATTTTTTATACAGAAAAGAAACATATGTCTCCCCAGCCAGCTTTTACATGTTATATTAAACTTGAAAAAGTTCAGTGTTGGAGGTGTGGTAAATTGTACATCCTGCAAACAATATTTCCAAAAATGTTTTAGCTAGTCGTATGAATGGATTCTTATAGAAGGGGTTTCCCTGTTTGGATTACCTATTACTTTCTCCTACACTAATTAAGGTACCTGCTTCTGTGTGTCAAATAAGAACATGATATTTCTTCAAGGTTATTTTCTTGATCTGCGGCATGATCTAACGATGCTGCAGAAAGTGTCTAAGCCATTTTTTTAGGGTGCAGGGGGGGTTCTAGTCAACCCCATCTTTGCAAGTTTCTAGGAAAGCTCTGAAGAAGCATCCATTTACTTTGGCTTTTTCCTTCAGCTATATTTTATTTTGAGGAGTTTTTGGGTTGTTATTTATTGATGTTTATTAATTTGATTGAAGTGCGTTGTTTGGGTTTGAGTTTGTAATATGTAAGCCATGTTAAAATGGTTGTATCCTTATAGGTGGCCTACAAAGATTTTGAATGAATGAATGGAATCTTGTTTTTGTGTTTCTAATCTCCATTCCCTGTGTAGGAAAGGGTTTATTGATCCTGAATGGGCCAAAGTGGCAGCAGCACCGAAGGCTACTGACTCCTGGGTTCCATTTTGATGTCCTGAAGCCCTACGTGACTCTTATGGCAGACTCAGTCAAGGAGATGCTGGTAAGAAACCCCAGTGCTTCTCTCTCAAAATCCATTTTGTTCATTCAAGACGCTGTCTTTACTTCATATAATTAACTTTCAGGTTTCAAAGCAAAGGACTACTTTTATTATGGCCTTGGGGTTTTTGGCTTTTTTCTTTGACTAGCAGTCTCCCTTTCCCATATTGGAAAGCTTGCTACAGGGAGGTCTTCCTTTGAGCTTGAGTCTGCACTCAGTATGTGAAATTAGTCAAGGAGTCTGTTCAGTTTGGCCAACAAATTTACACCAGCACGTCTGGCATGAAAGAGGGCAGGAGGCAGAAGCAAATGAGGGGAACACAGGAGCCTGCTTCACCCAGAATAACCTGCTCATGCACCCTTCCCTACACTCATTCTGGAAAGGAACATGCAGTCCTGGCTCCTGTTCAAGTGAAACCAGTTGTGCTAATTGAATTATTCACATGTGCATGGTAGTCAAACAGTTTTATGTGTTGCACCTTGTTAGAGAAACCCTGAATATCAATGCACCCCTTTCAATTGGTTGATGTGTCAAGCAGATTCCCTATATGGAGGATGGTAATGGGGATGCAGGATAAGAGACTCCCTCACATGATTGGAATTTCATGAGGGAAAAACCCTGAATAAGCAATCTAAATTTACTACCATACCCTGCTTTAATATAACAAGGCAGGCATGGGATCAGCAACCCTGTAAATATTTGGTAATGTGTAGTTCACTTCTTCATGAGATGAGTGTATGAGAGAACTCAAATCCCCAAATTGGTTCTCTGTCCTAAACAAAAGTATACTGATTTAGAAAAACAATCAATAAGCACAAACACATGAGAAAATAAACAGATATGACCCCAGAAACTTTATTTGTTTATTTAGTTATTTAAAGCTTCTGTATACTGTCCTTCATGAAAAGTCCCAGGACGGAAGTACAATGAAAGCAAAGTACACCATCAAGCAACAAATTCAAACAAAACCCCATCTTAAAACACTTTAACACTTAAAAATTGGAAAAATAAAAAGGATTTTGCCTGGTGCCAAAATAAAGTGTTGGCACCAGGTATACCTCTCTGGGCAGCATGATCCATAACTGGGGTGCCATGCAGAGAAGTCCCTTCTCTGGATAGCCACTCTTCTGAACTCCTTCAAAGAGGGCTCCCAAAGAAGGAGCTACAACCCAGATTTTAGGAGGCGGGCAAGTATATATGGAAGGAGGTGCTCCTTCAGATATCCAGGTCTAGGTTGTTTAGGGCTTTAAAAGTCCTCACCAGCACCTTAAATTGAGCCTGGACTTCAACTGGAAGCCAGTGCAGATGGTAAAGGACTGGCATTATATGTGCCTATCTTCCAGTCCCTGTTAGCATCCTGGCTGCTCTATTCTAAACCAAATGAAGTATCAGGACCATCTTCAAGGGCAGCCCCACATACAGCATGTTCCAATAGTCCAACTGGGAGGTTACCAGGGTGTGGGTCACCATCACTAGGCTCTGCTTATCCACATTAAGGGTGTAGTTGGTGGATCAGCTGAAGCTGAAAGAAAGCGCTCCTCTCCACAGCAGTCGCCTGGGACTCCAAGGACAACTCCAGGTTGAGGAGCATTCCCAAACTACACACCCTGTTCCTTGGGGGAGTGCAACCCCATCCAGAAAGGACAAAGATTACTTACCTGGAGATTTGAACCACCTACCAACAAGACCTTCATCTTGGAGGGAAGCAGAGAGGGAAGAGTTACGGGCTAAAGGCTAGCTTTAGCTGACTATTCTCCTTCTGAGTATATACTCAGAGAGTGGGACGAGGGTGCTTGCTCATTGTTGCTTGCACAGTGGCAATAAAGAGAGACAAGGGTATGGTGAGAACTACCCTGGAAGGAAGGCACTGGATTTGACCACTGGGCAACACTGATTGCAACCTTAGCAGAACGTGACCCAGTAACTGATAATGAATCATCCAACCTTTCTGGAAACCTCCCTTTTTTCACTGTCTCTCTTTACCAAAATATTAGGATGTGTTGGAAAAGCTGATTCCAAAACATACTACAGTGTCACTGGAAATGTTTGAACATGTTACTTTGATGACTTTTGATACCATCATGAAATGTGCCTTCAGCTACCAAGGCAATTGTCAGACAGACAGGTCAGTGTAAAATGCCTTCTTCACTCACAGTGGGAACTACAGAGAGACAGAGAGTTTCTTTCTGCACCAAAGGCTACCCCAGAATAAGAAGAAATCAAGAGATCCCAGCAACCCCTGTCAGTTTTATCTACATATACATCCATTCCAATGTAGAGATTGATCACATGGAAGGAATGTTTCAGCAGCTACTATCTTAGCAATATCATGTGAATTGTGACTCAGAATGTCACTTAGAAATATTGTCTGTTCCAACTCTTCACTCTGTGCAGTGTAGAATCCATAGTTCCATACATAGCAAAAGGAATGCTTGTACTGATTGATTGATTGATTGATTGATTTAAATAATGTTACCATGCTCTTTTGGCCAAAATGGCTAAACCTATGACTTCCAAATAAGACTGTCACTGCCTTCAGGTTTAAGATCTAAAAGACTAAGGGAAGTAGAACAGAATGATGGCAAGGTGGGAGGAAAAAGTAAGCTTAGGCATCCATTTTAAAAATTGGGAGTTCTTATCACAATGCACTGGGATGGGATGGGATGGGATGGGTAGCTGTCAACTGAGGAGAATCAGTTCAGATGGCAGTTCAGCCCTCAGCAGAGACAATGGAATAATTCTCTCCTCTGCAAGAATAGTTGCTATCTGTTGGGCCTTCAGGTTTTCCGTGTAATGGCACAAGGAGTTGAAGATCAGAATTATGAGGACGGGTGTGCTTGTTCCTTCTTCTACCCAGTACATAATGCAGCTCTGTGCATACATTGGAAAACTTCCAGCCAGATCCCATGCATTTGTACTGGAAAGAAGTTCTAATGTATTCAGTTGGACTTAATGTCCCAATAAATATGTAGCCTAGTTGTATCTTCCTCAGACTGGTGATTTCTGCTCCCTGCATCATCTCTGTTCACAGGAATAATGCCTACATCAATACTGTATTTGATATCAGCTGCATGATTATGCAGAGACTGAAGACACCTTTGTATCACAGCGATCTCATTTACTGGTTCAGCTCCCAAGGGTTTCGATTTCGGAAGGCTTGCAAACTAGCCCACCAGCACACAGGTTTGTTTCTTGTCCTACATACTTTTGGTTCAGGATTTTTGCTGGGCTTCAGGTAAACATTATTAAAGTATACAAAACCTTTAACTGCAAAATGTTCAAAGGGTACAAACAGTCTTGAGGAAAGCTAGAGAATAAGAGCAAAGTTAAGAGAAATCTACCTTTCAGCAGATCTTTCTGCTGTAGCATTGGAAATTAGGAATAAAAATTAATTTCATTCATGGGCAATCTGATACTGCCTACTTTGCCTGACTTCATTTAACCAGTGATGATCTTTCAGATTTTCCTCATTTTAAGTCCTGTTAATTTCTTCTAAGATTCCCCCCCACCCCCATCCCAGCACACAATTAACTCTTTCTTGGCTTTATTGATTGGTTCACCCTGGTTCCTCTTGCTCAGTCTGTTCACTACTAACATTCTTCTTTATGTCTGCTTAACTTCTCAATTTCCTGTCTCCCAGTTTTCCTGCATCCAGAAAAATCTTCCCTTTCTCTGGTGTGAGGTTTTAACCCAAGCTGAAGTGACAACTTTCTTTCTCTTTCTCATTCACAGAAGCTGGGCTACAAATCATTGGTTTCTCAGGCTACTGAACATTCTGCTATTTGGCTCTGACTCCGCAACCTGTGGCTTCTTTCCCACAAACGCAACATACAGTCTAGATATTTGGCTTAGCTTCACTCAGTGGCTACTGCCCTTGTTGCCTCTGTATTACCTCCATTACCAGAGGCAGTATGCCTGAATGCAGCTATTGCTGAAGAGCATGGGCAGGCAGAATTCTTGTTCAGCTGGACAGAACCTGGCTTGTCACAGAATGAATAAAATGCCAGACTTATAGAAACATAGAAACAGAGCGAGTCAGAAGGGGTCTTCCGGGCCATCTAGTCTGACCTCCGGCACCAGCTGGCTCCGCTCACGACATGCCCACCATGTGCACGTCATGTATCGGTCTGATCTAGCATAGCTTTTCTTATGTTTACTCCATACAGATAATGTAATAAGAGAGAGAAAGAAGTATCTCAAGAATGAGAAAGAATTTGAAAAGATCTTGAAGAAGAGGCGTTTAGATTTTCTGGATATTCTCCTTTGTGCAAAGGTAACTGTTACAACAAGGCATTATGCAATATCAAATAAATTATTTCATCTCATATTTTAGACTAGCAGGAAAATGCTAAAATTGTCTTTTAGACTAGGCAGGAGTGTGATCACAGGGAGGGTTCAGTGTGTCCCCAGACCCTTTGTAGTTGCTCATCCCTGATACTGGGGCGGGGGTGGCGGCAAGCGTTTCTTAGGGGAAGATGGTTAGGATTTTATAGACCTGTATCAAAACCCTGAGCACGACACAATAGCATTCTGGTCTCTTTCTGCCAGGTTCTTTTGGCAGTTCTTTCAACAGTGGTGTCCCATGGCACCAAATTTATTCTCCAGTCCTGGCAGCTATACCAACTGCATTCTGCACCAACAGCAACCTCCAGGCCAATCCCAAAACATGGCGCACTTCAGTAATGCAACCTTGGCATTGCCAATGTGCACACTACTGTGGTCAAGTTACCCCACTTGAGTGTTGGCCACAGGTGTAATACCAGAGGAAGCCCCTAGCCAATGGAATTACCTGAGCCGCAAGTCAATGAAATCACCTGAGACTGACCCTGAAGTGATACACATGTATTTCCACGGGCTGTACAACCCTAACCAGAACAGACAACAGGTACATGGACCAAACGCCGAAGTACCCGCCCACATGGCCTCCATCTCTCCAGGTTTCAAGCTCAGTTTATTGCTCCTCAGCCAGCCCATCACTGCACCCCACCACTGGGCCAGAGGCTGCACAGCCCATCTTGACTCAGATGATATGGAGAAACAGGGTTGGGTTAATCCACATACTGATCATATTCTGTTCTAAATTTCCCAGGGTGCTCATGCAAAATTCCTATGGTCTGTGCATATTTTTAAAAAAATATAAACCAGATTATCCCATGCTCAAGGAGGCTACAGTTCATGTTAGCCTGTGCCTTAAAATATTTAAAACATTAAAAAGACAATTACATTGTAAAACCAAATATTATACATTGGGAGTCTCCTCTGCACAGGGGCCTACAGGCACAGAATAATCATGCAGTCTGAATCGGCCTTCATTATTGTGCAGAGACATCACGTCAATGTGGGAACGTTGTCCGGTCCAAGCAGGCATTAGAATGTTGGCACAGAATTACGTAGGATGGGAGCAAAAATAAGTATGTGTACTCAGCACTGATTCCTACCGGTATTTGCAGCATTCTGTACTCCTGCAGCATGCTTCTACATACAAACACCATGTATACAATGAGAAGGTTGCCTACAAAATGCACTGATCTGTTTGCATCAACATTCAACTTTCTGCAGCACAGCTATTGTTGAATGAAAACTGTTGGCTAGGAAACTTTCCTTGTAAATCACCCTGTAAGCTTGGATATTACCAAAGGGAGATGCATTTTAGGGGTATGTGTAGACACCATGACAACTGTGGGGACCTCCAGTGGTACCTGCAAAACTCTCTACTCCCTGCGTTTATTTTTATTTCTTTTTTAAAAAGTGGGGAAAAAAATTAGGATGCCAGGTCCTCCTTCCCATTTCTGAACCTGCTGCTGATCAGCAGGTTCAGCAGCCAGGACAAGAGGGAAGGTGTTCCTTCCTGACAGCACCCAGTCTTCTACCATCTCCACAAACCTTTCTTTTTTGCTCTCTATCTCTGCTCACACCCTCTTGACTTGCTGCTTCCTCACTATTTATCTTCCTTCCGGATGCCTCGCTTTTTTTCTCTCCCTTCCCATCCCTGGCCTTGCTTTTTCTCTCCCACTCAGCTCTTCATCTAATTGTTTCACTCCACTGCCAGCCACGAGTTGACTTATTTCTGTCTTCTCCCACTAGATCACCTGCCTGTTTCTCCCACTCCTGACTTCACTCTTTGGCTCTCTGTTTCTTGATCTTGCTATTTCTCCTATAGCAAGACACATACCCGTCTTTCATATTTAATTGAACTGTCTCCTATACTTATATAAAAAGAATGATGTTTTCTATCGACTGTACATTTCTACACGGACATTATTGTAAGCATGTGCCACAGGAATCAGGGTCCAGTTGGGACTCACTCACAAGGGGATTCCAGTTGCCACTAGGGCACTTAAGTAAATAAACCTTCTATCACAGGAATGCCATGTGTCCACTGCATAAACACTGAAATACCTGAAACCTCTCAGTTTCCACACACACCAATAAATGAATAAATAAGTACCGGTTTTTCTGCTCTTTGATGGTAACCCAAGTCACCTCACTTCATTCCAATCATAAGGCAATCCCTGGCTTCCTGGACCTCCACTCCATGTCCTGTAGGAAAGGGAACTGCAGCTCAAACCAGCAAATAGATATTGCGGGACTGGGCTGCGCTTTGGCATCTCTGGTTGTCTTCCTGCTATGACTGCAAGGAGGGAACAAGTCCAGCTGTCATGTAGATGTGCTTGTCTATGTAGCCTTCTGTTGAGAATTTCACTGTTTTGTACATGGTACCATAGCATAATCAATCTCCATCACCTTGCATCCTTGTACATTAAACAGCAATAGACCATGAATTACTTTCTTCTTTTTTCACAGGGCTTTTAGTTTTGCTGAACATTTATAGTCTTCACAGAAATCCTTTGGTCTGGGATGATCCTGAGGTAATTATAAAAGAATAAGGGACTAAGAAAACAAGACCTTCCTACTACATCTAACTAATAGGCAGTGTGAAGGTATTTGATTTCTTCTTCCTTAATGGGATGCTTTAGCAGTAGGAAAAAAGACAAGAAGCTGTTGGTAAACCTGGAAAAGATACGAGAGGAAGAAAGATAAATAAATACAGTAAGTCTTCTAGACCTTCCTTGAAATCCTGTGAAGGAGGCAGAATGAGGGTGCCCTACAAACTTATTCTAGAAGTTCCAGGAATGAATGCAGTTCTGAAATGGGGAAGGGATAATGGGCAAAGGCTTTTCCCCATGAAACCAACTGTGGGGATCTCGCATACAAGTGCAGGGAATGAAGGTTTTCATCATTCCATATATACCATGGTCTCACTGCAAAATCATGCTTAATAACAGATGGTATTAGGTGTGCTGGAAAACATATAGCCAGAGTAGATACCTATAGGTTCCTTCCCTTTCCCATGGCTAATTCCAGCTCCTGGGGATGATTTGTATTGGAGAAAACAATGTGTATAGGGAAACTGGAAAACTTTCCCCACTCCATGATCCAAATTCTCTTCCTTTTGGCTTTTTTTTTTTTTTTTATCAGTAAACCCCCAACCAAAAAGTGTCAGAGATGCAAAATGGAAGTTGTGTGAGTGCAAGTAACTTGATACCAAATACAACAGGTTTACATAAAAGACTAAAAGGTAAATTTTAGAGGGGACTATACAATGCAAAGAGTGGTCAGGCAACTGACTAATTTCTCAAAGGAAGTTGAGTGGAATGTGAATTACTGGTGATTTTTAAAAGAATGCTGAAAATGGAGATCCAAGCTACCTGTTGCTGGGCTCACACTTTGTAAAATTGTGCCTAACTTTTATTTTGAAGGAAAGCATCTGGCTCTTCTCTCACCTTGTTGTAGTCAGCGGGGAGGGGAACTTAACACCCCCCCCCCCCATTTCATTGCTTCCATCAACACACACAGTCCTGGTCAACTATGCAACGCCTTTAATGAGTTAATGGCTTCAGGTACTGCAGAGCCGCCTGGCTGCTTTGCTTGTCAGAGTCGCGGTTGAGGAGGGGGCGCCTCTCTGGTGGTAGGCACACTCTGCTAGGGTAAGGAGCATCATCCCCAGTGCTGCCTGGCCTCGCCTCCGGGAGCTGCTGCCAGCTTTTGCAGTCTCGGCTTTCACATGCACGTTCCCCTTCCCAAACGGCTGCTCTCCGTGCGCGCGCACCGCAGGGCACTTTCCCTCCCCTTCTCCAACTCTGCCCGGGCTGCGCCTCCGCCTCGCAGGGACCGCTGAGTCCACCCTCGGGCTCCTCCCTCGGGCCCAGCCAGTGGGGGTTAAGCGACTTGCTTGCCTCCCAAGCCCCGCCCTCCTACCATCTTGTTTTACTCGCTGCTGTCACGTCACGTCATGTCCGCCTTCCCCTCCCTTTCCCCGCATTCCTCTATATACAACCGGTGCTACAGCCTTTGTGCCCCCCTCCCTCGTTGCTCTTTTCCTGGGAGAACCCCCTGCACACCTGGGCTGGGCGCACAGCTCCCCTGCCCAACGCCCCACCGCTGCCATTCCTGCCACACCTGGTGTCGGGTTCACCATCTCTTCATTCCCTACGGCAAGTACCTCCGACCTTTCATACATCTGTATGGGAATCCAAAACCACTTCACTGCCAAAAGCCACACATCTGGCTGCTGTCCTTCCCCTACCCCGCCCAATGCAAGTAGCAACAGCAGGACCAGAGCAGGTAATGCAGGGTTGATCTCTCCCAACATACTCCGTGTAGTCCTGCTCCCGTTCTCCCTTCCCCGGGGCTAATAGTTACATTTTGAAAGTTATATTTTGCATTCACCCAATTAATAGTAAGCTTTGTCTGGCACAGTGTTTATGGGTTTCAGAGCTGATTTATGCACACATAGACCATGTCTCCCAGTACAATAAAATATAGGATTTAAAATGTTTGTAGAAGCTGCAGGAGGAGAAAAGGAGGGCATATGGGTGAGAGTTTCTAAACTGAAGGTGTGTTTTACCTCGGTCTTCCGTCACTGTGATTTGGGAGAAGGACTGATTTTACTGACTATTTCAATAAAAGCTTGCTCTCTTCCATTTCTCTTGCTCTAGCAGCTGTGCAGCTTACTGGAAGAAACTTATTAAGTGGGGTAGGGTGGCTTGGATGATCCAAGTTTTGTTTGTTAGGCTTTAACTGAGAATTTAATCCTCTTCTCAGACTTCTTCCTGCAAACTCTTGAATTTATCAGATATAGTGTGTTGTGTTGACTGTACAAATTTGAATGTCTTTGCAAACAGTGGGTTAGTGAGGTCATTTCTTCATCTCTATCTGGGGAAAATAAATAATTTAAATTATGCTCTCCTGCAATTTTGTATGTGATTATACTCCCATTTTTTCTGAGTCTCTTTTCTTGCTTTGTCTCAGGCAGTTTTTAAAAAGCCTTACAGCACACTCATATTATTATTATTATTATTATTATTATTATTATTATTATAACATTTCTATGCCGCCCCTTGCCGAAACCTCGGGGCGGCTTACAACATGATAAAATACATTGAAATACAATAGTACATAATAAATTACCATTAAATATAACAATACAAAAAATACATTGATTTACAAATACAAAATTAAAATTATCAGTATAAAATAAAAATATAGGAGGAGAAAGAGAAGGAAGAAGAAGTTGCCCAGGCCAGATCATATGTTTTAACAATTGAAATGATGTTTAAATAAAAAGGTCTTTACCTGGCGCCGAAAAACCAGTAACGACGGTGCCAGGCGGACCTCTTTGGGGAGTGAATTCCATAGGTTGGGCGCCACCGCAGAGAAAGCCCTCCTCCGGGTACTTACTCTCCTAATTTCTTTCATGGAGGGTTCTCGGAGAAGGGACTCTCCCGCAGATCTCAAAGGGCGGTCGGGCATATACGGACGTAAGCGCTCGTGCAGGTAGCCAGGACCCAAGCCGTTTAGGGCTTTGTAGGTCATAATCAACACCTTGAATTGGGCCCGGGCTTCAATGGGAAGCCAGTGAAGCTGATGGAGGACTGGAGTCATGTGAGCATAACGCCCCGTCCCCATCAGCAACCTGGCAGCTCTATTTTGCACCAATTGAAGTGTTCGGACTGTCTTCAGGGGAAGCCCCACGTAAAGCGCGTTACAGAAGTCTAGGCGGGAAGTCACCAGCGCGTGTGTCACCGTCGCCAGGCAGTCGTATTCCAGGTAGGGGCGCAGCTGATTAATCAGCCGAAGCTGAAGGAAGGCATTCCTCGCTACCGCTGTCACCTGAGCTTCCAAAGAAAGCTCCGGGTCGAGGAGTACACCTAAGCTGCGGACCTTATCCCTAAGAGGGAGTGTTGCACCATTCAGGACCAGGTCAAATCCACCCTCTCCGAAACCCGATCCGCCAACCAACAGGACCTCCGTCTTGTCATATACAAGTTTAGACAGAAAAAAGGCTTACAACTTGCATAAGATTGGGTTCTAACAGCCCCCCAACTTTGCATATTGTGGTTCAATTAGCTTAGTACCTTTGCTTCTACTCTTCCATACAAGAAGGTTTTGTAAGGCCACTGTTCCTTTATTCATAATTATACTTTCTAATACTAGTACATTTGTTATTTCATTTTTTCAGTAGCCCTTTCCTTAAGTTCTTGTTCATTTGAATGTGTTTTCCAGAAATACCCAGTTTTGAATTGAGAAACTTTCCACTTTCCCAGTGATATTTGCCATTTCACACTGTGTGTACCATGCTGCTTTCTCTTGAAGTTATTGGCGGCAGATAGTTATTGGCGGCAGATTCACCACACCATTCCTCTAAAGAAAATTGATTATTCAAGATCCAGTTCTTGTGAAGTATTTCCCATACTCCTCCATAAAATTACAAATAATCAGCTATATGCATCGGCGGCACTGTGTCTCATGTGGCATGAGCTGAGCAGCATTTGACTCTCCTCTTGGGCTTCCTCCACCAGTTCGTGCTGGTGTCCCAGCTGGAAAAGTTCCTTTCACTTCAGGATCTCATATGGGGCCCAAGATGTTTTACCTTTCCTGATGCCATTAGGTGTGGGGTCCTGCTGCATCCATCCACCACAGGATGCTCTGAAGCTTCCCACCTGCAGTGGCACTGGGCACTGGCAGCTCAGAGATGGGATGTAGTTTTGAGTAGATTGGGCAGACTACATTGCCACCTGCTGCCTCTTCCACACACTGCGTGGTCAAGCAGCAGCCTCATGCTGTTTTTGCCACCTGCCGCCTCTTTCATGGTTGTCTTCTCAATCTGCATATCTTCTAGCCACCACCTTCCCAGTTCCACCTGCTTTCTTGGTGTAGCTACTTACTCTTTGCAACCTGTTCTTGCTGCCATATAAGCTTTCTGGAGCAGCTCCCACTGCAGTCCACAAACACCCTTGCTGGAAATGAGCTCATATCACTTTACGGCCTATCAGTATGCCTGGTAGTGATGCATTACATCATTCACTCATTCTCTAGTGGCAACCGCCAAGAATTATTGTTTTGGGGCTCAAATTATCCAAGCACACGTTTGGGCTTAACCACACACACACATATTATCAGGCTCAAGCCATCCAGGAACATACCTTTGGTATTTAACTACCCAGGTGTCTGCTTTGGGGCTCCAACTGACAAAGCACAGGGTGTGTGCAAATGAGTCTAGGTATGTATGAAAGAGCTCTCCCCAGATTTTCTTCCACTAGGCATACTGCATTATTATCTCAGTGACTTGTTTACAGTTTGTAGATTTTCCAAGGACATCATTCTGTCCTGCAAACCATCCACGTAAACCTTGTGACTCAAATAGTTTCCCAGCATGCCTTGTGGCTCCCAAAATCCAAGGATACCTTCATGCTCAGATGAAATCAATCAATCAAAAGCCTTTCTTGATTAGACTATGCAAGTAATGTACCTTGTGATGCAAACAATATTTATTTATTACAATTATATACTGCTGCCTAAAATTTCTAAGGACTATCTTTGAGATATAGCATGTTGTCATTATGTTGATCTCAGAATGATCTGGAGATCTGAAATGTCATGTAGGAGAAGACAGCCTGCTGAGTAGTCTGGTTTCGATCCATGTAATATGCCTTGGGACAACCCAAGTAAACCCTCATATTCAAATGAAAGCTGATCTTTGTGGTTCATGTTACACCTTGTGGCTCAGCACTTCAAAGTATAGCTTTGCAGCAATTGTTGTGTGGTATTCAACACCACAATCAAAGTGTGTATTAGGAAACAGCACTGAATTAGAACATACCCTGACAGCACATGGACAGTCTGTGTCTGTACCATGTGGATGATCTAGGTTTGCGATGACAGGTGGCCCTGTTCAGTTTCATTCCAAGTAGAGAGCAATGACATGGAGCCAGGATAATCTATGAGGCAGCCTGTGCTTTCATTCTGCAATGTAGTATCAAGTTGTAGGGGAGCAAACGCTGAATTGCACCACTCAGTTCTGTTGCAAAGAGTGGTATTTATTTACCTGAGTATCAAGATATCTATCAGACAATGATGCTGTTCTGAGAGACAGCTGGAAAACTTGCCCTTACAGATATGACTGAGCAATCATCTTGTTGTTCTTTCTTTTGTTAGTACATTAGAACATTTTTTCCAGGTTCGTCAGACCATACTTTGCTTATTAGTGCTGCAACTACTATGTGATATCAGTAGTGGAAATCAGTAGCCACTGACTTCAAGAGGTAGCCCAGTGCTTTTTTTGTCATAGAACGCACCGGAATGGAGTTCCAGCACCTTTTTTCAACAGATTTTCCAAGTTTTAATAGTAACGTTTGAAAATTTGATGTTTGGTCCATGTGGATTTGAATCGCTCTGTCGAGTGTAGCAAGTCAGTGGTGCTGCTCGGCTTGTGGCGCTGCTGGGCTTGTGATGGGTCGTGTGGTCACGCGCTGAGTGCTTACTGCGGGCAGCGACTGTTATGTTTCGTTACACAACTGATGTGTGTGGGTGTGTGTACAGTGATTGACTAAGTGCGAAAGGTAAACAATTTCATGAGTTCTGACACCTTTTTTCTTACAAAAAAGCGCTGAGGTAGCCATTTCCAATACCTCCATAATTCATTTCATTTGGTATTATCTTCACTACAACTAGTACCAATAACTTCTTTTCTAGCATGCTTTTTGTGTTCTTCCTATCTTTCCCTTGCTGCACCAACACAAACAATTTCATGTTACCTAGCAGTAAATGTTGTGAAGTCTCCTCTTATAAGGTTTGAATTACCATTTGTTGTTATTAGTCGCAAAGTCGTGTCCGACCCATTGCGACCCCATGAACAACATTCCTCCAGGCCTTCCTGTCCTCCACCATCCCCCGGAGTCCACTTAAGCTCATGCCAACTGCTTCAGTGACTCCATCTTGCCACCTCTGAATTACCACACAGCTATATAATTAGACAGAGTGGTACAGTTAAGCAGGGTGATTGGTTTACCAGTATAGGATGGGGTCAAGGATTGGTCTACAAAATGGCTATTCTTCCAGTGTGAACTGTATGAAAAGGCTAACACTTCTTTTTAAGCATCATATCCTTAGATCTTGCACCTATCCTTCTGAAACTTGGCAGGTTAATTAAGAACTCTCTTACCTGAGGCATTTATTGTGCATTTATCATTCCCTACTCAAGGTTGTCTGGGTTCTTCAGTTGATGGTATAACCTTCTAGTTTTTTTTTTTTTTTTTTTGCTTTTAAACATATTTGGTGAGTTTTTAGAACAGGCAAAATGCAGTACAGTGTTTAGTGCAAAAGAAAATGCAAAGTCCTTGTCTGTATTTGTGCTTTTCTTCCAGACGGCAGTGCCACCTCGAATTATGAGGTAGAAAAGCAAGACAGGAAACTTCAAGTAGTGCTGAGATTTCAATTTTGTGATGAAACTAAAAGTCGATGCAGTTTTATGTAGAAAATTAACAACCTTATGTAGAAAAAAGGCAGCTCTAGCTTGTCTGTCATTTACAGAGCAGTGGTCCACAACGAATGGAGAAGGAATGTTCTGTTTCAAGGGCTCATAAAATATCACAATGTGTGCCTGAGTTCAAGCAATCCAGTAGTTATGGTCTTTAAATTAGTCCAAGAAGAAGCGGCAGATTTTCCAAAGTTTCAGTTCAGGGTTCAAGTTGAAAGGGGGTCATTATACATCCCTATGCAGCAGGGGCAGCTTGTTTAACCCCGTTGTGGAAACATATACATGCCTTCTTAGATGAAAACCTCATTGAGTTCAATAGGACGTATAACCAGGCATTTTAGCCCAAGTGTAGTATTTGTCTGCCTGCTTTGTTTTCTATGTATCTTGCTGTCTCTGTCACATAAATGCAAGCTTTCATTTTTTCCTACAGGTTTTTAATCCACTAAGATTCTCCACAGAAAATTTAATTCACCATCACCCATACGCTTTTCTTCCTTTTGCTGCTGGACCAAGGTAAAAGATTTGTAAATCTCTCCCTTTCTTTAAGTTCTCCCATAAAGTAAACATCATCTTCAATGAAAGACTACTGTAGCATGCTCTACGTGGGGCTGCCCTTGAAGACGGACCAGATACTTCAACTGGTCCAGAATAGAGCTACCAGGTTGTTAACAGGGACTGACAGGTATGAACACAGAACGTTGGTCCTTTTTCACTTACACTGGCTACCAGTTGAGGTCCAGGCCCAATTTAAGGTGCTGGTGATGACCTATAAAGCCCTAAACGGCTTAGGGCCTGGTTACCTGAAGTAGCGCCTCCTTCCTTATGTGCCTGCCTGCCCCTTAGGATCTGGGGCACATGCGCTTCTCTGGGTGCCCTTTCTGAAGGAGGTTAGGAGGGTGACTGCCTGGAGAAAGGCCTTCTCTGCAGTGGCACCCCAATTGTGGAATTCGCTCCCCAGAGAGGTTTGCCTGGTGGTGTCACTTTATTCTTTTTGGAGCCAGGGCAAAACCTTTTAATTTTCCCAATGTTTTAAGATCTGACTGTTTTAATTGGGTTTTTATTGTTAGTTGAATTTTTAGGATGTTCTGTTTTATTTTTTATTTTTTACATTTTGTATTGTTAAACCATCTCAAGACTTCAGCAATTAATTAATTAATTAATGGCACAATTGGGTTGAAGGCTTACAAATCTGTAGTGGGTTTGAATAAATTGACAAATGACTTGTCAAATTTGAATAAAATGTCAAACTCATTGCAGGGGTTTGTAAATGCCTGGATTCACGTGTTCAAATTAATATTTTCTTTGCCAAAGGCTGCAATCCTCATAGGATTAACTTCCAATCAGTTCTACAGAACTGTTCTCAGTAAGATTATATTCTAAATGCATGGCTAATTTATTTATCATCAGCCATACTTCAGCAGAACCTCTCAGAGTGGGTTACAAATTAAAAGATAAGTACTAAAATACCATAAAATCTATTATAATACAAAACACTGTAGAGTAGAATAAAATGCCAATGTAAGCTGAAGAGGATAGGCCAAAAAGAGCAAAATTCCTTGTAAAGGGAAATCTAAGATGAAGTACTATTTAAAAAAGAAAGGCCCTTATGTGACTGGTTGTGTCTGTAATCCTGCACATCGCCCTTTCTCTTTCGATGTCTACTCAGGAATTGCATTGGACAACAGTTTGCCATGAATGAAATGAAAATCGCTCTTGCCTTGACGCTTCTGCGATTTGAACTTTTGCCTGATCCTTCCAAACTCCCCATTCCTGTAGCGCAGATAGTCACCAAATCCAAGAATGGAATACATCTGAAGCTGAAGAATGTCTGCTGATGCTTGAAATTATCCTAAAGACAATGCTTTTATACTCTTAATTCCTGCCAATAGATATTGGTAGGCAGCATAAATGTTAACAAGCTATTAATACTATCCAGTGTGCATCTGCTCCTTTTATGGAATAGTTCAAATCCCAATAATCATGGGGTAAAATTATTGTCATAATGAGGTTACAGAACCTCCTTAAAGGTATACTACCACTTACAAATATAGAATTAAAGAATCCAAATCTAGATTCTTATAGTGTTTTCAGTTTTCTGTTACTGCTTTTTGGAATAAAGATGGGCACGAATTGATTTATAATTCTAAAACCCTTTGATCTGGTTGCCTTTGATCTGGTTGCACATTATGGATTGTTAATGGGCGGTGGGTTGTTGTTAAGTGCAAACCCTACACTATATTTAGGGTTGCCAATGACAAACAACTGAGGAAGCAAGTCAAGGATTTGTTGTTGGGTTGTAAACTCTGAGTTGTTCATGGTTAACAACCTGTAGTTAATCCATAGCGCAGCATCCACATGAGAAAGGGAAGGGCAACAAGGATGATCCAGGGACTGAAAACAAAGCCCAGTGCGGAAAGATTGAGTGAACTGGGCAAGAAGAGACTGAGGGGAGATATGATAGCACTCTACAAGCACTTGAAAGGCTGCTATAAAGAAGGACAGGATCTCTTCTCAGTCATCCCAGAGTGCAGGACGTGGAATAACAGACCTAATTTACAGGAAGCCAGATTCCGGCAAGATAACAGTCAGGAAATTTTTCCTGCTATTTTATTTATTCATTTAACAATAACTAAATTTATTGTTAAATGATGGTCTTTTATAGACTGTCCATCTAATGGCATATCGGGACGGTGTACAACAAGCAACAGGTAAAATAGAAAATAAAATGGCACAGCATCCAATAATATAACAAACCACATTAAAACCAATTAAACATCAAAATAATGGGAAAATAAAAAGCAATACAACGATGAAACCAATGACCTAAGCAGGTTGTGGGCTCTCCCACACTAGAGGCATTCAAGAAGCAACAGGAGAGAGCTTCATTAGGGATGAGAAATCTGAACTGAAGCTTTGAAGTGACATATAAACAACAGGTGCCTGCAGAGAGAGGTTTTTTCCCAGTACTTTTGCCAAATATTGCAACATAGTACAACATGCAGGCATCTGCCAAGGGACAGTCTAGCAAAGTCAGGTGGTTCTGACCACTTGAAGATCCTGTTTCTAAGTTTTGCTTGATTCTCCTAATCCATCCCTTGAAAAACCTCAACTCATTATGTGCTCCTGGACTGGGATTCATTTCTATTTGACAAAATGCACATATAAGAAATAATTATAATTTTAATCATTCATACTGAATACTAAAAGTACCCAGAACTGTGTACAATGTAAGCACAAACTCTCATGTTGTAAAGATGCAAGTACAGGAAATTTACAAGAGCAAAACAGAAACATGACGAAACTAGAGCAACTTTATCAAGGGACACAGCATGTTAACTATGCTGCACCTCTGCATCTCATTTTCAGAGCAATAAATACTACAAATGACAAATTTATCTAAATTTAAGTTTTATTCAGTTAACACAGTTCCTGCAGAGGCTTTAGTGCTGCTGTCAGCAAACTGAAGTGCTGGGCAAATTTCTTCAAGAAAAAAGCATTAACTAGTTTATCTTTGGGGTGTGTGTGTGATTGCATATCAGTATTTATTCTGGATGTTGTACCCTTTATTTAGGAGTCAGGCATGCAGGACAATTAAAGACACCTCCAGGTGGAAACACCTTAATTTATGGGATGGCAGTGTGGTTAACTGCCAGCAAGAGCCAGCAAATGGTGATGTTTTGATGCATCGCAGCTTCTCAGAAAACTGGGGACATCATTCTCTGAAACAATAAATGCCTTTGCTCCCCAAATGATATTGATACCTTCTTTCACAAGTTCCTACCTTTCTTTTTGCAGTGTACAAATTAAACCATCATTAAATTTGGGAATATTTCCCAAAATTCTTCAATGGAATTTTTCTCAAAGCCAAATGATGGTAAAATTTGACATCCCACAAATGAGAAGGACAAAATAAGAACTCCACATAAAAGCGTGACTAAAACAAAATTAATAGCTGAACTGCAGTAAAAGCTAGGAACTAAAGCTGAAAGTATACCAAGAATTAATAATAACATTAAACATAAAGAAGACACATGTCAATATAAACTTATAACTTCAAGGATCAGAATCTACACCACATTTAACTGAAGAAAGACACTGAATTCTCTCTCTCTCTCTCTCTCTCTCTCTCTCTCTCTCTCTCTCTCTCTCATATATTTATATTTATATTTATATTTATTTATTTATTTATTCTGGTCATAGGCCAGCATAACGGATTAAACGATGTTCTTCCATTACCCCAATAACAGTTTAAAATAAACTTAAAGACAAAAAGTAGGCAATGGACACTAAAAATTAAAATAATCTAGGCTACATAACTGAAATACATAACACCACAAACATGTACATAATGGTAATACTAACAGAACCTTTGTTTAAATTCACTACAGTATAAAATGTATAGATTTACGACTAAATAGCACAGTATTTTCTTAACCTGAGTAGTGCCCTGCAGAAACTGGCTACCTAATATGTGATCTTGACATCTTTATCTGATAGAAGAAACTCAAGTTTAGCTTTCTTGGAAAGAATCAGATTATCCTGAAAGAGCAGAATAATAAGCACATTATGTGCTGTTTTGTAATACAGACACACACACACATTTTGAGGGCTCAACCTCCCTTGTCTGGCAAGTACAAAGGCTTTCAGGAAAGGAGATGTTTTTGTACTTGCCTTTGAGAGCGGCAGAAGGAAGAGCAAGGACCTGGCAAGACTAAAAGCCCTTCTAACCCCTTTTGCTTCCAATGATATCAAATAGTTTGCTGGTTCCACCAAGTATTTAACATTTACCCTAACCTTTATATTTGGTAAGTTGGCGTGATCAGGTTGATGTTCCATACATTTGATTTGCTGCTTGACCAATTTTTTTGCATTATCTAATTCATAAGAGAGAAACATTTGAGGGGAAAGACCAATTCTCTGTAGGCGACTCTGAATGCCCTTCAGACAGTTCGACTGAAAGTTATCACAGAATGCCAAGGGGAAAGGGCCTTATAGGTTAAGATGCCTCTTTAGCCACATACATATAGATAAAATACAGATCTAGGCTTCAACTTCCATACAGCTTGTCTCTAATCTTATCCTAGGATTTGACACACACCCAGGAACCTGCAAAATGTTTCTTAAAAACTTAGATTGGACTCTTTCCTGAGGAGCAAAACATGAGTTGGGTGGTTCCATAAAGGAACCATAAAGCCATTGGGTCAATGTCTTTGCCTTATAAAGAGCTGCAGATACAACCTCATGCCTGCCCACGTTCAATGGAATTTTGCAATGCTGTTTGCAGATCTTTTATCCTTTATCTGCAGTGTTATTACTGTGTTGGAGCCTGGAGCCCGAGGCCTGCAGGATGGCCCCCAAATATGTATTAATTTATTAAAAGCTTTTCTATCCTGTTCCCTATAGAACGTCTCAGGATGGCTTACAGTAAATGTAAAACTATTGGTGTGTTCAATATGATGGCCATTAATTGACCATGACTAGATCTTCAGCATGCACCCAAAAGCAACTATCTTGGTTCTCTGATGGTTGATTTTAAGCAACTCATTTCACAGTATTTGGAGAGCTTTCCCAGAGCCCTCCTCAGCCCAGCAGGAGTTCTAGAAAGTAGTTTATAATAAGACTGATACAGTCCCATTAGCGAGTTTGGGAAGATGGCATGCAGATGAATTTAGCCAACTGACTAAATTATTTATATAAACAATAAATAATGCTGGTTCAAACAAGCATCCTTGCCTAAAGCCTCTGAAAGTTGGAATGGATTCAGTAGGATGCCCTAGCCTGCTGCATTTAACCCTAAGAAAGGTTTGCTCATGTAGGGGCCATGTAAGGCATAACAGCCTTCTATCGATGGAGGAATTGGCCAGTTTGTCCCAGAGTCTCACTCTAGATACTGAATCAAATGCAGATTTGAAATCCACAAAAGCCATATAAAGAGAGGTTATTCCTTTAGATGAGTATTTCTCAGATGTCTTGCATGTAACTTACTTATAATGTTCTGCAAACTAACTGGCCTATAGTTTGAGGGGTCCTAACCACTATAGCCAGTTGCCAAGATCTTGGAATATGATCCTAAGATCTTGGATCATTAATATACGTAAAAATGGAAGCCAAGAAAGAGACCCACTGTCCTTGTTTTCTTTCAGGAGTTCTGGTGCAATACTGGGGCTTTGGCGTTATTCAATTGGTCTATCCACAGTTTGATCTTGCCCGAAGTTAGACAAGGCCATTAGCTAGAATTCAAGCTAATGGAATAATCTTACCTAAACTTGGCCAGTATCCCAAACTCACAGCTACCAAAGTAAAATAGGAAAAGCAAATTATCCTCTTTCGGTAGAGGGAGACAAGGCAGGTAAAAGAAGATTGGAACTCAAAGGAAAAACTTTACCTTAGCATCTCTCAGGGCTGCTTCAGCCATCTCCGACTCAGAAGTCCTGTCTGTCTGTCTGTCTGTCTAAGTTTCTGTTTTCTTCTAGAAATTTACAGCTAAAAAGTACAAAATTACTAGAGGAGCAAACTGACTTTTCTCTGCCACTTCTCTTTCCAGTGAATACTGTAAATACAGGAAAACATTTCAGGAGGTGAAGTGCAAATAGCATCTCAGTAAGAGGGAACAGTTTCAGTTATGCTTTTAGTAAACACCACTGAAGCAATTTCCTTTTACAGGCAAGCTTGGAAGAAAGCATCCATTTCGTTTTGCAGCAATTCCATTCAGCACACCTGTAGCTGAATGTGAATAGGACTAGGCATGCTTGAACATATGTCTGGTTGAATTACAAACATTAATCATAGTGTAAGGAAAATGAGATTACTTCCAACTCCATTTAGGTGTGTGTGTGGGTGCGGGGGGGGGGGGTAGTACTGATCTGTGCCAGTACTGATCTCTCACATTTCTATTGTATCAACACAGCAGCCCCATTAAGATTTCTAAACTGGAAGCAAGAGCTTTTCTGTGTGTGTGTCTTTAATTTTAGGAATTAGGTCACTCATTAGAGCTGGTTGGTAGAGTTTTTATGAGTTGGCACTAAAGCACTAGCTAGTACTACTGAGAACTTTAACTGGGCACTTCTATTTGATGCACACAGAGCAAGGCCAGATAAGCTGAAATTGTTCACTGCCTGTTCCCAACACTGAAGCAAGTCAGCTTGGCGATGGAGAATCTACCAAATGCCATGTGGTTCTGGCTACCTGGACATTTCTCTCAGCATCTTCATCTGGCCCTTGCCTTGATCCTTATCTCTGTTGCTCTGAAAGCCTTTCAGCTGTTTCAGACAAGGCGAAAACTGCTCAAAGGATTTCGGAATTTCCCAGGACCACCATATCACTGGCTATATGGCCATATTCAGATGGTAAGGGATGCTTTCTCTTGCTTGGGATACTCTGCCTCTCTTGCTAAAATGTATGTATGTATTTAAAACTTTTCTATACCATCCCATTACAGATGTCTCGGGATGGTTTACAACTCATTGCATTTTGTAACAGATTGTAATAAAATGATCTGGACCTCCACATGAGCTAAATATAAAAAGTATGGCCAACCTTGAAAGGTGGACAATATGTCAGTTTAAATTTTACTTGTTTATTTGATAAGAAGATTGAGACTTATAATTTTCAGGACATGTTTATAAGGTGGATTCCTGAAGAAATAGCCAAGCTGGGTGGGGGGTGAGAGCAGCTGTAGTTCCAGTACTTCTGGAGGTTAGCAGGTTGGTAAAGGTTAATGTAAAATTTCTGGGAATGGGGAATTTATGTTTCTGAGATGATGCATTGCTGTACCAAAGAATGCTTGAATGGCCTGAGGAGGAATTAAATGTGATGGAGAATTCCTTCTGGAAGTGTGAAAAAGTAAAATGGAAGCTCAATGTGAACCCCTGCAGCCTTCTTGATCCCCAGGATTTTAACCACAAAGTATGATGGCTCAGAATAAAAGCCCTCATGCTCAACAGGCAAAACATTCAGTGAATCCCAAAACAGGAAAAGCTGAATTCTTGGAGATGGAAGAAAAAGGAGACACACTGAAGGATACTTAAATGGGAAACTGTAATGCTGAAGCACATGGATAAGTTATGATGTTAGATGTATAATGCCAAGACAAGTGCAAGTCAAAACCTCTTTAATACTTGTCTTCTAATATTTTTCTAGTTATATTTAATATTTTAAACTGTGTAGCCACTTTCCTAGTTCTCTTGTGATGATTTCTTCATTTGTCTCTGTTCTTCTTCATGGAGAGCAAGAACAAACTATGCATTATTTTAGCTGCATTGTGGCTTGGGCTTTTCCACTACTGATTACTTGCATTTTTCTACCAAAGTGAAATTGCAACAAATAAAAGAACAATGAGAATCAAAAATGGTGCCTGGAGCAATGGACTAGAGAATTACAGCTAATCTTATTTCTGAATAAGCATGGTTAGGGTTCAGCCTGAAAAACCCATGAATTTTACATCTCTGGTCCTGTCAAATTTGTAACCTAATCCAATAGACAGTCTTATCTATTCAATTTCACAATCAAGCTAGAAACTTGCTGATTTTGTTTTCCCTAAAACTAGTGCTGAGAGCTGGTAGTAGGAAAATCCACTAGTTTTTTCTGAGTGATATTTACTCATGACAAAGGGCTGGAACCAAGTAAGAACAAAGTTTCCTGGGCTTGGATTGTAAACTACCTGGGATCCAGCTTTGTTTGGCCATGACAGGCTTTGCAAATCAAGCACAGCACAACGTTGAGGATTCAATTAAGTCCTCTTGGAAGCACACAGAGAAGATCCCTGCCCACCTTGACCGGCACTGCTGGAGGGATCACACAGAAAAGACGATCACTGAAAAAGAGTCTGTCTTTGCCACTATCTGCTATGCCTGGTCCAGACCCAGGATGAATCTTTGGCTAAGTAACTGAAGGGTCTGAAGACACTGTGGACTTGCTACTGCTACTGATAGCCAGAGTCATGTCCAGAAGCTCCAAACAAGTTTCACTGGACCCTCCAGTAATGGTGAATCTGAAGAGCCCCCAGGTTGGCAACCTGAAATCTGTAGCGTCAGAGAAGGAGGTCTGGCATCCCTCTTGCCCTAGAGCATACCAGTACCGAGGGATGGAGACACAGATTGGCTTTCAGAGCCAGTATGCCAGAAGATCTGATGCTGTTGGGAGCAAGGGGGATGGTTAGCCTGGGTAAGCATTTCCTACAGAATGCCAGCTGTGTTCAAGATGCTTATTCAGATTCAGAGGAAGAGAAGAAGGAATGTCTCAGCGAGGCTGGGGAGCTCAGGTTGGCTCAAGGTCCTGGCTTGCAACAGCAGGAGAAGGAAGAGGAGAAAGGGATTATTGTCTCAAGGTTCTTCATTTCACTGTGCTGGACTGTTCCTGATAGTGGTTTGACTAGACAGCCAGTGAGAGGGGCCGCTGGGAATGAGAAACTCCCAGACATGGACCAACCCCTCCCTCAGAGCAGGACCCTGTGGCAACATGCCAGTAGAGGTGAGAGGCACAATTGGATGAGCAGCAAGCAGAGAGGAGGCATGCTTGCTTTCAGGCTGGCCCTTCTGAAAGGGTGGGTCATTTTAACAATATTTATACCCCGTCCTTTACAAGACGTCCCAGGATGGCTTACAACAATAAATGTATGTGCTCATAAGGAGAGTTTTGGGAAGTATTCACTAGACTGGGTTCAATAACTACTTTTTGTTTTCTTGGAAACTCATTTAGATTATTTGCATTTAGAAACAATACAGAGCATTTCGCAGGAGAAATGGCCTGAGGCTTGTTCTAAGGAGGAAACATGGTTCATGACAGGAGCAGCCTAGCTTCTCAGGATTAAAGCCTGCTTGACAGCAAGGCTCCCCCTGAAAGCAGGAAGACTTTGAAGTCAAGGCTAACAGCTTACAGCTGCACCTGGATGTAGGATGGGTGTCATAACTATGCAACTTCCCACTTGAGATCTGCCAGTGACTGGAACAACTTCATCATCCAGTACCTTGCAATCTGCTTTCCTAATCTGGCTTCTGTGTACTGATCTCTTACCCCTGGCTCCGGATAAGACCCTGTTCCTTGAATGGAGTCTGATTTGGACTGCTTGCCTGTCCTTTGTTTTTCTTTGCCTCTCCCTGCTTTTGGACTGCCCTTCTGGACTGGTAACACTGTGCTGTTGAACTCTGCCTTCCAGTGTTGCTGAACGGAGTTGCCACATGGTTTGCTTTGGGAGTGAGCTCACATTTTCTGAACTCAGAGCTCTCTTTTTTTTAACCAACAACCAGTGAATGAACCAACAACCAGGAATATCCATTCCATTGGCAAAGGCCAGACACATCATCACAACAAAAAGTCTAGATATATGATGTGCTGAGCATTACATTGCACAACATATTGTGTTGACAATATTTATTCCTAAACCTATATGCAGTTGAAACCTGGAGAAGAACTAAGAAACATAAGAAAATGGACAGACGAATTTCCACAGTGTTTCCCTGTGTGGTATGGAAGATGGCCTGTCTTGTGCATCAACCACCCTGAATACGCCAAGGCCGTGTACAGCAGAAATGGTAGTCGTTTGTCTCTTTCATTCTACCGATCCTAAACTCTTTCACTGGCATATTTGCCTGCAGCAGTAAAGTGACACCTTTGCATTGCTAGTACAAGGTTATAGTCAGTGATGTTGGGCTTCTACTTCTACAGTCAGTGTTATCCCTTCCTTCCCTCTGCCCATGAAATGGAGTACACTCCCACCGTCAGGGGTAGAAAAACATAATTACTTTTTCCAACCCCACTTCAGACCCTGTCACAGCTCCAGTGATATTACTGGATGGATGACAGGATCTGATTTTGTTCCAACACTTCCTCCCACCACCATGTATGTTTTTTCATAATCAGGAAGGTAGCTAAGGCTAAAGGTGGGCAGTGTGCCTGGCTTCACAACACTGCAGATGCATCATGCAGCTTCATCCTGATGCCAACCAAAGTGAAGGGAATGCTTCCCAATTCATGCTGTCTGCTGAAATGGCAGGCTGGCATTCTGGTTTACTGCTCTGAAAATGAGGTGAGCATCATAACTACAGGCAATCACTTTGCTCTTCTTTGGACTCCTTTTGCTACCTGCCCACCCTGCCAAGTACAAAATCTCCAACTGTGCTACCTGTGAGTGCTGTAGTGAAAATGAGCAGAACTGCTAGGCTTTTGGCTTTCAGAAGTTTCATTTCTGATGAACATCTGAAATACCACTGCTAGTGGCATCTCTGAATTTTTAGTTTCTCCCACAATGTCCTTTGTTTATTTGTGGTATTTGTATACTGCTTCATATCTAGGCATATTTCAGAGAGATGAAAAGTACAGCCTGCAACTGAGAGCAAAATAATATATTAAAATCATGATAATATTAAAACTAATCAGCAAGAAAGGATTCCTGGAAGAAAGATGTCTCTACTAGGAGCCAAAAATGACACAGTATTGATGCCTCTTGACCTCCAGAAACAGGGAATTTGATAGAAATGAGACCCCCATATTTCAGCTTTTTTCTTGGTGAACTTCGTTTGGGCCATGGGTCCACATGCAACCATCAGGAGAATGTCCTCTAATGACCTCATTGACTAGGCAGGTTGATAAGGCAGAAGGCAGTCATTCAGGTATTGCGTTCCCAAGTTGCTCAGGTCCTTAAATCTGCCCTGGTAGCAAACAAGGAAGTCGCATGCTGAAAAGAGGCAGCATCTGACAACTGCTGAGTTGCTTTTGGCATTAGCTCCAGCTTCCAGAGTAGCCTTAAGGGCAGTCCTATGTAAAGTGCATTCCCACAATCCCATCTTGAGGTTCCTAGTACCTATATCACTGTGGCTAATCCTTCTCTGTCTAGGAGAGACTATAACTTGTGAAATAGTTAAAGGTGGTAAAAGGCACTCCGAACTTCTGCAGTCAGACTAGAGTAAAGAACTAGAAGAACCTCCAGACCTGATTTTTCAATCTCATCCAGAATAAAAAACCTTTCTATTTTCCCTTTGTTTTAATGTTTAATTGATTTTAATTGGGGTTTTAGTATATTATGGTCTGATGCTGTGGGGCTGTTCTATACTATTTATTTATTTTAAGCTGTCCTGAGACATTCTGTAGGGGACAGGATAGAAAAACTTAGAAAGACAGACAGACAGACAGACAGACAGACAATTTTCCATACCCAGGAACCACCCTCACTGGACTTCCATCTAGCTAAGATTCTGGTTCTGTTTGCTGTCCCTCCGTGTTTTGCCTTTGAATCCAGACACTGATCTTGAACTTCCAGACTATGCTATCAGCATACCGATGGCATTTGGTTCCAAATCTCCCAGTGACTTCTCCCGGTGGCTTTATATAAGTACTGAACAACACCTTGGACAGGATAATACCTTTCCAAGGGTCTGAGGAAACTAGCCCCAGAGATAAGACTGGGACCACTGTAAAACACTGCCTCAAATACCTAACCCATGGAGTCAATCCAGTTGGAAAAGATGTTGATGGTATACAAAACTGATGAATGATATTTCATTCATTTCATCTATTATATTTGTATGCTGCCTCATAGCCCATACGGCTCTGTGGGTGGCTTACAATAGAACAAAAAAACAAATATTTGAAACAAATCTATACAAACACGCAATACAATATCTAACTAAGCAACACAAAACCAAAACAAACCTTAGTTCAATTATACAATACATAATGTAATGCATAATATCAGTAATAATAAGATATAGCTGTAATTCCCCCCCATAGACAAAGCCCAGTTACCCATTATTATTTAACCACACAGTCATTGTCACAGTTCTAGCATGCAGCACTGACCACAGAGAGACCTTTTCTGGACTCCCCCTGGTAATGTGCACTTTCTCTTAGCCTGGCCAGATAGGAGAGGACAAGTCAAATCTGTCTCTTGGATGCAATCAGATGCATATCTAGTCAGAACAAAGGCCTGCATTGCTGGCACGCCAGGTAGGCCACTTCCCCCACTGTAAACATACACAGGACTGCATCTTTAGCAAACTTTTGTCTCGCCCTTAGATGTCACAATCACATTTCTCTGACTTTTCTTAAAGCTTGGAGCAGGTTTCTAACATTTCTTTTTGTTTAATTGCCATGGCTTTCTTCAGTGTGTCAATGAAAGCTCCAAACATGGCAAAAAGGTAATGCCATAAAATCAGGTATCATCATCATCATCATCATTCATAAAGTGCGTAAATTTTGAAAAACAAACGCTTTAAATTATTTCCTAATAAATGGTATACATGTGTATTACAATATCTAGCACCATAACACATACAGAATTTGATCATATATTAATTGTGAATTTTGTTAACTGTTTTTTCATGCCTTTATCTTGCACATGCTTTTCCAGTATAATTTAAATAACAGCAATTAAATGTTTAGTACCTGGACAAAAATCTGGGTTTTGTTTTTTCATGCATCTTGCATATCGTGACACAGTTTTTATTCACTGTCTTGTTCTACACAGATCCAAAATGCCTCATAGCTTACAACTTACTGGTTCCATGGATTGGTATGTATTTCTCATATTCTATTCCCTGGCTTACTTTCATATCACAACAACCATAGCATAAGCTTCCAAACTCAGAGGCTTACAACTGCAAAGTGGGAGGAGTGCTGGAAGCAAAATCTGCTTCCCACCCTACCTGCTTTGTAACGCAGCCAGATGGCTGATTTTACCTCTCCCTCTCTTTGATTTTACACAGAGAGAGACAGAGGCAGGAGCACCACCAAGAGACATTGTACGTATCCTGGCGGCTTTGGGCTCCTTTCCTGCCCACCAGCCAGAATGCCCCCTCACCCACCTCTGAGGTCACTCAGAGCAGCATCTGGTTAAGTTCATTCTACACTGATTCTGGGGAGGAAAGGGGATCTGAGTATAGATTCCCCGCCCCAAGGTCAGACTTCTGTTCCCAGTTCTGAATCTGAGAATCCATAGGATTGCGTCACGCTGTTTTCTGAAGGAGGATGCCATATTGGCACACTTTTAAAAACAATTCATTCCCAGACGTATGTTAGGTAAAAATACCCTGAGTTTCCTTCCTGAGAGGACTCAAGCCAGGAGGAGGCTGAAGACAACTGTAGGGCATAAGCGCAGGGCTTTATTCAGGTACAACAGCTGAGGGGCGGGTGCCTCCGGCTCGTGCTGCAATGAGGCTCCACACGCTCCTTTTGTGTTGGTAGATTATTATACTGTGCCGAGGCTCCACCTCACATGGTCACCAAGTCCAGCTCGGCCCACCAGGCATCCCAGGTGTCATGTTGCATATGGCCTGTGTTCACCCCGTTGGATACATACAATTTTACAATATTATGTTAACGCAGGAATGTGGCACACTTAGGGAAGAACAGGGTTCCTGAAACAGGGAAGAGGGGTTTTGGACCCAGGGACACATTTGGCAGTTCAAGAAACCGATGTTGGGGCCACATCAGTTCCTGTGCTTCTGTGGAGATTTAGGTTAGTCACAAAATGGCTGTCATGCGGCTAGCTAGTCCAAAGCAATCTAAAGAGGTGTGCATGGGGGAGAGAAAAAGTGAGGCAGGGAGGGAGAAATAACAAGCCAACAGACAGAGGGGAGAGAAAGAACAAGGCTGAAGATGGGGGTGGTGTGGGAAGCATCAAGGTGGAGAGGAGAGAAAGAGCAAGGCTAGAGGCCAGAAAGGACCTATGTGGAATATGTGGAGAAGAACGCTATCGCTGGGAAATGGTTGCTGAGGTCTGGGAAAAAAGTGGGAGGTTGCTGTGGTGCCCCGTGTCCCATTTAAGGCCTTCCAATGGGCATGTAATTGCTTGCTGCGGCAACAGAATACGGCATTAGATAATCTCTGATATAATCCAGTATTGCTCTTCTGCCTTCACATTGTGGTGTGCTGAATCTGTGTCGACTGAAAGGCAGCCAAAGTTCTGCCAGTCTGGGAAGGGAAATGGAGGGCGTAGTCTACCAAATGCTGTCTCCTCCAATTGATTTTACTCAGAATTGCAGCTACTAGTCTCTCACAGGGAAAACGATGCCAAGATACTCTGTGTGGGTGACGAAAGCAACCTGATGCTGCTGCTCTTCCAATCTTCATGGAAGCTTTTTATGTCGCTTTTCCTTATCAAGAAAGCTACAAGAAATAGTTTATGTGTCTTCTGTTTATGGTCTACTTTGCCCCTCTGTTGTATAACTACAGTGTGCACTTTAAATTCAGACAGTTGCACATATAAATGTTTGCCTTTATTTGTTCCCAGCATTTCTCTATGAAGTATTAAATGGCCAGAGCTACTGACTGGGGAAACATCTTGGTGTACTTAGCATGTTTTTATCACCTTACAAAAACTAATATTCCATTATTAGGAATAGAGACCAGTCATGGTAGTGACATATACATTGAAATCAATAAACAGCTAAATAAAATTATGCACCTCTCTTCAGATCTCGATCTGTGAAATGTCTTTGAACAATGGGAACTTTTTCTGTTGTTTCCCTTTTTTCCCACATTCTAGGAAGGGGCTTGCTAATCCTGAATGGGCCAAAGTGGCAGCAGCACCGCAAGTTGCTCACTCCAGGATTCCATTATGAGATTCTGAAGTCTTATGTAACCCCCATTGCAGAGTCGGTCAAAGTGATGCTGGTAGGAAATGCTACACAGTCCCTGGAGAGCTAACCACTCCTCCTCTAGACCCTTACAATTCTGCATTTCTAATACCAGTGCTTCATTCTCAGCTGCTAGGATTCCCCAGGTAACCAAAGCTATGTCGAATACATACAATGAATTTTACAGCTGTGGGTTTAAGATACCAAAGCCCCTCTGCCCACAATCACTTTGGAAAAGAAGGGCAAGGGAAATTGCTGCCATTGCTAAGGCCAATCCATTCAACCTGGAGGTTCCTAGGCGATCATGGTAGTTTCTACATGTTCTGCCTCTCCATCCATGACATTTCCATACTGTTGACTTCTAAGGAAATTGGCCATTATTATTCGTCTAAGCTGATTTGGCCTGAGAACTTAAATGTTCTGAAGGAAAGCCTGCTAGATCTCTCTGTGAATTGCATCGATGACTGGGCAATGACATGCGGAGCAAAACACCGGTGGAGTCCTTTGTAGAAATTCAAGAGGGAAGAATAAAGATTTTCTGTCATCCCTCCAGGCTGCTCCACTAAGAATGATCACATACCTTCACTTAGGAATGTAAAAATGGAACTTGTAAAAAAAATATCCTAGACATGTTGAATCAGAAGTAAACCCCACTGAGTTCAGTAGAACTAACTCCCAGGTTATTGTCTGACTCCCAGGTAAATGAACTAACTCCCAAGTCTTCCAGCCTTAGTGGTCTGCACCAGTCTTCACTGGCCACGTGCCTACCAGATGGACCTTAGCTCCCATCACCCCTAACCATTCGCCAGGCTAGGCAGAACTGGCCAGAGCTGCAGTCCTAATTATCTGGAGAGCATCAGTTTGAGGAAGACTGGTGTACATGAATATCTTGGGCAGGTGGTTTTACCTTTTTTTGAAAAGCCAGACCTGATCATCAAAACCAGTTGCTGCTTTTTGATGGGCAACATTGTTCCTTTTCACATCCCTTTCTTCCAGAATTTTATTCCTTTATTTTTATATATCATAAGTAGGCAGTATATAAGTTGATTAAATAAACACAATATATTAATTTATCAGGATAACTTGGAAAAGCTGGTCCAAGAAGACTCAGAAGTATCAGTGGAGATGTTTGAACATGTCAGCTTGATGACGCTGGACATCATCATGAAATGTGCCTTCAGTTTCCAGAGCAACTGCCAGGTGAATAGGTCAGTAAGGAAAACTGATATCCCACTTTCTGGATTGTGATTGGTTGAGTTAGTGCTGCGTCTAAGAGGCTATTCCTATTGAATTCTTTTCATTTGCTGGGCATCTACGGTGGTTATTCCTGACATTACTTCTGACTGCGTACCCTAAGGTGAAAGGCCAAATCCCTTTATACTTTCTTCCTACAATAGCTCCCTGCTAGGATCATATTGTATATATTATAGAATAGTGGCTGGGACAGGTGGGGAAGGTCATTTGAGGCTAGGAGCACTTTTGCAGGCACAATAAGGTGCCACTGTCAGGAGCAGGGCCAACCTCTGAATGGGTCTCGGTCTCTAACATAGTTCGTGCCTCTCCTAGTTCCACCCTTCTTGCTCCTTGCCTTGGTCATGTCCTCCCCATGCAACAGAAATAGTACAGTGATGTAAATCTGCTATGCTGTCATCATAACATTCAATATGTAGAACAGGTTTTAGCTGAACTCCTATGCCTATTCAATGAAGCTATCTAATCTCAACAAATGGATTGCTCTGAGAGATAACTGAATTTTGCACCAAGCATTTAAAGTCCTATTCCTGTTTTTTTCTAAAATGTGTTTTAATTCAGATTCTTTTATGGTTCCTTGAAAATTCCTGAATTTAAGCACCTGAAAAGTTGCTGTAAAATAGAACTATTTCAGGCATACTGAAATTGTTCCAGAAATATAGTATTTCAGTCATGCCCAATTTCAGCTTTTGTCATAGGTTTGGTCACCTGGACTTTACCATCAAGTGAAGACTGAAACCTCACATTTCCCACTAAAGCTACAATGTTATGTGCCATTGGATATTTTAATTCTGAAATTTGAAATATAAATATTAGGTGTAAGAACTATGACACATAGTTTCACAGGCATATTGTGAATGAAGACCACGCTCTGCAGTCAGCTCCTATCTTGTCACAATCGTTTGGGCCACAGGTTCATTGCACTGTGTCTGTTTATGCACTTCAGGACCGAGTAGTTTAGTTGCCTCGTTACATATGCTGGGAAGGTTTCTTGAGGAACTCATTGCAAATATGGGAAGGAAGCTGTGGGGTCCTATGTATCAGCCCTGCCCCTGTGCACCTGCAGACTTTTGTGATTTTGGCCCAACAGAGGGGAAGGTGCTTTCTGATGATGGGGACTCTCGCCACTATACATTAATCTGAATGTGCTTAGAACCATCTTTTGGCCTTCAGAAAGCTTGGCAGTGAGGTTGGAAAGGTTTCTACCAAATACTCACATATCAGGAGGCTGTAGACCATTCTGTACATTTCCTCACTCTCACCTAACATTTTAAAGTCCAGGTTTAAACATGTTTAAGTAAACTCCTAGAAATTAAAATTAAATGGGTATAAAGTACAAATAGATCAGAGATGGTCCCTAGTCCTTGAGTCTCCTGGCTCATAGCTGATACTGAAAACACATACCACAGAAGTGTATTCTGTGGAAATTATGCAACAGCTACCAAATTCCAAAGCATCTGTTCATCGTAGGAGATAATGTCTATGACTGGACAATTTCTGAATAATCTTCACACCACTATTTATAGACATTTTGTTGCAAAACACAAGAAGGGCATGCAAAGGGCTGGCAGGGATAATAAGAATTAAACCAGATTCTTCACAGCAAATAGTTGGAAGCACCTCTAATTAGGACCAGTTTATTAAAATCTGATTTTCATTTTTGCCCTGTGTCAAAGATGAAATAGGAGGCCACCAATACTTCATTGCTCCTTCTGGAAGGTTGTGTTGAATTGAAGGGAGAGTTGGAGCAGCTGTCCCTTTACCAATAGTCTTAATATTAGAAATAATGCATCAGAGTCCTCTTTAATGTTGCGGTATTAAATTTAAAAAAATAAAAGCATTCTCAAATGAAAAATGGACTTCTGCCTCCTGAAAATTTTCCTTTTCTTCTATTTCTTCTCAAAGGGATAGTTCTTATGTTAAAACCATCTCTGATCTCACCTTTCTGGTTAATGAAAGAACAAAGGTACCTCTGCACTACATTGATCTCATTTATTGGTTCAGTTCTCCAGGACGTCAGTTCCGCAAGGCCTGTAGATTAGCCCACCTCCAAACAGGTATGTTCCTTTGGTCTTTCACAGGAACTTTGCCTCAGGAGCACCAAACCTGCATCCTAATTTGGAGGATGCATTTCTTTTGTTTTTCAAATGTATGCTCTGGAGAACTGATGGGATGGGTTGAGCAGCTGCAAGCAACAGAGGCAGATTCATGTGGACTATGTTCCAATCTTATGACTATTTGGATGCCTGGTGGCCTCCATTTCTTCCACTTTACACCATGAGGTAAAGTCTGCTGCAGAAAAGAGTACACTGTAAAATGCACTGGTAGGAAATGGTCTTCAAATTCTCCCTTTGGTTCAGTCTCTATCCCTAGCGAGAAGCTTGGAATTCTTCAGAAGGGACCTCATTTCAACAGCGGTTGTAATGAGAGGTAGGGTTAGACTGGGGGATGAAACATAGCTCTTCAGTCACTGGTCATTGGGTGATTTCCTGGCTTTTGTGCTGTTTCCCCCACATTCTGAAAGGTTGAAATTTCTTCACTACTGCTTAAGTTGCTGGCAGTAAGGTCTCTAAACTAAAACATACTGGTATTATTTCTGTTGTTGGTGTATTCCTTTTCCTTTTATCTCTGACCCTGGCTACAGTTGGAATGTGGTACCCACGAACTTCCACAAAATAATATTTGGCCTTTGGATTGAAAGAAAGAAATAGAAATATTCCATCCTGGAATGCATTGTCATCTGCTACTTCTAAAGCTCTCCAGTCCCATATTTTTCCTGGAGGGGTTTTTTCTAGTGTCGTGTCATGTTGTGTCTCGTGTCTCATCTCCTCTTCTCTGGTCTTTCACTCCTCTTTCATATATTTAATGCAGGCAAAATAATTCAGGAGAGACAAGAGGCTCTCAGGAATGAACAAGAACTTGAGAAATACAAGAAAAAAAGGCACCTGGATTTTCTAGATATTCTTCTTTGTGCAAAGGTCAGTGATGTGACCCATTTCACAAGAGTCAATGTTCTGGAAATTAAGCACATGCAAGAGCCATGGGAAACCTGACTTTCTGTGATTCCCAGGCTAATGTATAGAAGTGTTGGCACACACATTTTGTATATGAAAGGTTCTGATGAAGTGGGCCTTGATTTTTTTTTATGACTCCTCGGAGTCTAAAAAGAATTAGGAAAGTATACAAATATTAGAATAGTACCCAAGAATGGAGTCTTGGAGGGAGCAACTAATATCATGAGAAAGTATAGCTTGAAAATGCTATTCCATGTATGCACAATATATTTCTCTTTTACTATAAAAAATAATAACTGTTTCCTTTCCAACCGCTCCCACATTTGTTTAAGTGGCATCCAGTTCTTGGTTTAAAAGTTGTGTTTGCTTTTGGATGTACCTTCAAATTGACAGTATCCTTCCATTATTAGGATAAGAAAGGAAATCCATTGTCTCAAGAAGACCTTCGTGCTGAGGTGGACACATTCATGTTTGCAGGTCATGATACCACAGCCAGTGGGATTTCTTGGCTGTTTTACTGTATGGCCCAGAATCCTGAACACCAGCAAAGATGCAGAGAAGAGATAATGGAACTCACTGGGGACCAAGGAACTATTCAATGGTGGGATTTGATTTTCTGCCTCGCCTTTTGTTTTCAGCTTTCTTTCTAGACTGGGGTATGTAGCTGCTCTAAACAGCTGGTGGGCAGGTTTGAAGGGTCTTCTTTCCTCCTTTCTTTGTTGCTGGAAGTGTTACTTGGTTAAAAAGGAACATACTTGGAATTAAAGAATTCCATGCCCAAGAATTGGGCACCAAAACTGAACTGAGCACACAGCGCTTCCCAAAAATCAGGAGATCTAATAGCAGAATCAGATCTACTTTCAGCTTATCCTATGTTCTAAGGATATATGATCCTATAGGTCATATATGACTTTATATCTGAAACAGACCTTATTTCACATTTTCGAAGAAGAAAGTCCTGGCTTATGTGCTCTTCCTCAAGATTGGAGCTAACAAGGCCTAATGACTTTTGAATTTATTTTTTAAAATTCATGTTTGTGAATGCCCTATGTTATGACACTGATTCAACCAATTATACAGCTTACTTTTATAGATATGAAATATCTTGTGAAGATTTTTTTTTGAGTCTTGGAAAAAAATCAAACATTTATATTTTATCTAGTTTCTTTTCCTGATCTTTTACAGGGATGACTTGGGGAAAATGGCATATACAACTATGTGTATTAAAGAGAGCCTTCGACTTTACCCTCCAGCATCTGTAGTAGTTCGGGTACTGGGTTCACATCTGACATTTCATGATGGACGAACTCTACCAGAAGGTCAGCTTTTCTTTTCTTTTCTATTACTACTACTAGTATTATTATCAGGGCTTTTTTTGTTATAGAACGCACCGGAACAGCGTTCTGGCACCTATTTTAACGGATTTTTCCAATGGAGTGATTTTGAATCGCCTGCGGGCTGCTTGTGTGTCCGCGCTGATTGTGAGGGCGCTGCTCGGCTTGGGATGCTGTTCGACTTGGGATTGGTGTGTGTGGTCGCGCGCTGAGTGCTTACTGCCGGCGGCGACCATTATGTGTGTGTAGAGAGTTCCAGCACCTTTTTTTTTTTTTTTACAAAAAAGCACTGATGATGATGATGATGATGATGATGATTATTATTATTATTATTACTAGACTGCCAAATAGCTGAAGCTGTCTTTTGTTTCAACTTTCCCATTGCATGAAGGACTGTTGCATGAAGGACTTTCTCAATGCATGAAGAACTGTTTTTCTCAACATGTTATGCAACACTTATAGCGAGACTGGGGAACAGCATCAAACAAAAAATAAGTCCTTGTATTAAAAGGCTGCAAAAGTTCCTGGAGAGATAGAAGTCCAACATGGAATATGATTCTAATAAGTGGAAGCATCCAATTGCACTGTTATCTGGCTTGGGTAACGCTCCCTGACTCTTTTGAAGAGAAGAAACAGAACTCTGTTCTTCACCAGAGTGCCACATCCAAAGAGCTGCCATTTCTGCTCCATCTGCAGCATCCAGCATCTGCCATCTAAGGCAGCTGCCTAATTCTGCAAAATGATAGGGTTAGCCTGGAGGTTTCTCATGTGATTGAAGGTTCATACAGAGTATGCCAGTTACATGATTGGAGGCTGTGTTTTGGAGGGAAAGGGCTTGTACTAGTTCAGCATGGTCCCCTACCTGCCATATAGAAATGGCAATATTTTATGTTGGTGTCAGAGTCACTTCATTTATACTCCTTTACACAGAGTAAATGGGTAAGTTCTTACTGGAGAAGACATTAAGATCCATTAAAGTTTTAGTGATCTAACCAGCACTATAAACTGCCCAAGAAATAAGGCTAGTAAAGTTGATATCATGTCACTGTGAGATACATAAGCTTCCTTTCATAATGAATTCTCAACTAGATGTTCTGAACCACGGGCTTGCATAGGTCTAATCTTGCTATCATCAAGGCATGAGTGAAATGAACACTCTAGGAAAGAAGACCAATGACATGTTGATTTATTATATTTTATTTTTTAAATGTTGCAACACTTATACCCCACCTTTTTTTTCTCTTTTGGAAGAAACCCAAGGTGGCTTATATTGATCCTCTTCCTCTCCATTTAATCTTTCCAAGAACCCTGTGGAGTTGGTTTAGCTGAGAGTCTGTGACTGGCTCACAGTTACCCAGTAAGCTTTCTGGCTGATTGGGAAATTGAACTCAGTCCTCCCAGTTCTGTTCACCAATCATTGCACCACACTGGCAGCATCCCCAGTCCCCACGGGGGACCATTACGGCATGTACAAATTGTGAAATCACACACTGAACTGTCTTTCTTCTGTTCAGGTTCTTTTATTGGACTGAATGTATTTGGACTCCACAGAAACCCTGAAGTATGGGATAATCCTGAGGTAAATGAATAAAGGCTTGAATATTCAAATACTGCCAGATTAGCTTGAAATAATGGGAGTCTTTACAATGCAGCCTTTAGCAGGAAGAAGTGCTTCTTAAGAATTCCCTTTTCAAATAAGGCAGCCAACTGTCCAGATATGAAAAGGAATTTATCTGAAACAAAAGCCAAGGGATGAAGGAAGGAAGGAAGGAAGGAAGGAAGGAAGGAAGGAAGGAAGGAAGGAAGGAGCAACCAATGGAAGGCAATAATCATGTGTATATGCAGAATTCCATATAGAACCAATCTAGTAGCATGTCTCCTACATAAGTAGAATCTTATGAGAATAGGCATCCTCTCTCCAATAAAGAGGATGATCTAAAGGAGAGAAAATTGGAATCCAGTTAGATGGAGTATGGAAGACCACAGAAGGAGTGACTTAACTCTTATTTTTATGGAATTTAAGAAATATCGGTGGTCTAGGCAGCAAATCAGAAAATTACCCAGTGGTTGGACCCATACACTTAACAACTGTTAACTTGCATTTCAAAATCTCAAACTATTTGGAATTGGTAAGTCTATTTCAAAAGATAAGCTTCAGATTTTTGTGGCTAAGATACAGTTAGCTAAGTCTGTTCAGATTGCCTGGTAGGATGCCAACTGCCCAAATGCACTTTGGGACAGTGGAGCTGTCTTGGATGTAGGCATTTGTCACACATGGATCCAACATTTCAGCAGTCTCAGCAATTTTGCTCCTTTGGGATTCTGGGCTTCTTTCTGTGTACTGTCTCTGATTTTATCAATCTTCCTTTGCATTTCTGCCCTTCTGCCATAGGCTTTATATCTGAACAGCCTGATCTCTCCCCTCTCCAACCTATGAGGAGGATAGCTTTTTGGGGACCTCTGTCCTGGATTCCTTTTTCGGTAGGACATCTTTGAGCCATTCTAGTGGCACCTGTAGCCAAGTACAACTTTTCACAGACCTTATCCTGCCTAACCTTCTGTAGACCCTCCTGCTCACTTCTTCATCTCCACTTGCATTCCAGGCAGCCTAGCTTCTTCAGCCCTCCATGTTCCTCTCCAGTGTTTTTTCAATGTGAGGATGGGGGAGGTGGGTGTTGACTAGGCCCACTGACTTCAGCAACATTTCCCCCATCTTCCTCATACAATGGGTGATTTCTTGATGAGAAGAGATTCTTTGATATTTAGGAACTTTCCATGTCATTGGAACCCATATTGGGCTGCATTCTGAAATCATCGCAGCTGGCTGACCACAGGCCCCCTGTAGAAGTTCCAGTGGCTGCCATACACCCGCTGGTCCAGGGTTCCATTGCCAGACAGTCACATGTTGCATTTCCTCTTTCAGGTCTTTGACCCCACGAGATTTTCCCCAGAGAATGCAAGCCTGCGCCACCCCTATGCTTACCTGCCTTTTTCTGCCGGACCAAGGTAGTGACATTAAAGGCCATATTTACACTAGCAGTTATGCTCAGGAAACCATTAGTCCTTGGATTTGTGGATATGGACTAGCAGTTATACCAGGACTGGACAACATGTTCAGCCCCGTGCCCCTCATTCATATCTTCTGAAGCCACATACTCTGGAGGTGGCTACACTGCGGTGCTTCTTTTTCCAGGCTCTTTTTGCATTGCCTGAGAATTATCACTGGGGCATGGCTGAGGCCACATGGGAGAAGAGACTTTGCAAGGTTACTTTTAATCATTCCTGAACACATGGATTGTGTGGAGGAGTTTATTGCATGAAATGGCACCCGGGGTATAGTCACCGCTGTTGAGCTTTCCCTGATTATAGCCCTTGAAAAGAGTGCTAGTCCACTTCATGCAACTGGTTATGTATTCAGCAGCATCTAAGAAAAAGCGGTATATATGCAGTAATTTAAAATATATTGAAAAGAACCTCTCCTCTCAAATACATACTTATTATTTCTAGTATTGGGTGCTGCTTTTTTGCATTCCGTTTCTGTGAACAGCAAACGATTGTGCATTCAAGCACCACATTAAAAAGACCCACTTGCACCTCCTAGAAACTTAGTATTTTGAGTATTTGGGTTCCCCCCCCCCCTTTTGTTTGGCTTTCTTTCTAACTCTCTACAGATGTGCACATTAAGTAAATACCAATTCTCCAGAGGAATGTTTATTAATTCCTTAGAGATGTTTGATTTCTTATTTGTCCATATTAACAGCTGAAAATACAAAAAAGTGCTATAGAATTTCCCCATCCCACTTGCTACCTGAACTTCATTTTCTGACCCAGATGCCTGCAAATCTTCTCAAAATGCCCAGGCACCACAGCAGGAGGACAGCTGTCTTGATGGGTATATAGATCAGATTCAGAGTAGATGAATATTGACTCCACGTGAAAATTGGTCATCACCCACTCCAAGTGCTAGAGCTGAAATACGGACTTCTTTGATTTTGCCAAATGTTCTGTGGTCATCTCTGGAAAATCTAATACTTTCCCATCCTCTTTAATTAGGAACTGCATCGGACAGCAGTTTGCCATGACTGAGATGAAAGTGGCTCTTGCCTTGACTTTGCTCCGGTTTGAACTGAAACCGGACCCAGAAAAGCCTTCCATCCCTGTGGTGCAGATTGTGACACAATCCAAGAGTGGGGTACATCTGAAATTGAAGAAACTCATTTAACTCACGTGTATTTATTGATGGTGCTCTAAAACAAGTTCCAATAAAGTTGATTTAGCATTTCCACTATAATTTATCAAATAGTTGAGCTTATCCAGCAGCTGAGACTTACTACTCTGTTCAATTACTTCACCTTTAATCAGCCATATTAGCTGCTGTCCACTGACTAGCACATGTATTCAGATAGTGGAAGTGGCTGTGATGGCTGTGGCTGGTTTTTCCTAATTGCAAATTACACTGGGGTCTTGTCCAACACTTGTGTACATCATGGTGGAGAAAATAAATTCTAATTGCCACCTTGGTCTTTGCAGAATACAAGAATACCAAGGTGTCTTCTAACATCCAAGGACTGTAATTATCTAGAAGGCAGGATGAAGAATATAGACTGAGTTGAAAACCAAATTACCCAACATAGGATCAGTGTTACAGCACATTTTGAGAATTGCTGCATGGTGACAAGAGAAAGTTAGTGGTATGTGCTGCTTAAGAAGAGTAGTCATTTTGTCCACAGTAATGTACATGTATGTGCTTGCATGTGCATGTAGAATGCCTAGTCACTTTGGAAAAGCAATATATACATACTAAATATCTGTGATTTACACACACACACACACACACACACACACACAACTATATATATATATATATATATATATATATATATATATATATATAAAAACTAAACTAAAGGTTGTTTAACATTAGTTTAATATCTGGAAGGGGATATTGAATTCTGAAATTCAGAACAGCATATAAGATTTTATCATTAATAGGATCACACTGAAACCTTTTTTAAATAAAGGGCACAATGCAGACAAGCTTGGAATTAAATCCCACTAAACACAATGGAAGTTACCTCTGTGGATTGTACTGCATAGGATCACGTACTAAATCTCCTTCAACAGGAAAAAGTTACAGGTGCCTAACTTTGACTGGATTTTACCATCAAATATTTTATTCACCTTAATCAGAGAAAGCAAGCCAAAGGGTATGCCATAGCTGACCCAAAACAGCTCAATTTACAGGTGGGAAAGTGTAATAGGCTTCATGAATATTTACAAATTTTCTTTTTGGAAACTAACTTTGATGATAGCTTTAAAATGTTGGTGTTAGCTGTTGATTGAATTGATGCTTCCTATCAGAATATCAGATTCAGAGAAAATTAATCTCATTTGCAAGAATTTGGGTGGGTTCTCCACCCAAATCCCAAATCAGGATTCATAAAAAAGTATCTGATTTCAGAAAAAAAGCTCCATGCACAAAGATTCAAAGGAGGAGCTATGAGGCACTAGCTATGAAGCTGTCGCTGAACCAATATTCTTAATACTAGAATAATGAGGAATAGTTCTCTTTGCTGTTGCTCTACTGAGTCTATTTGTTTATGGAAAAATAAAGTATATTTAGAACAAAAGTAGAGTTGAGCATACAGAGATTTTTCTATGTCTTCTTTTCTTCTCAAAGGGATGATTCTTATGTTAAAATCATCTTTGAACATACCTTTCTGGTTAATAATAGAACTATGGTTCCTCTGTGCTACACTGATCTTACCGGCTTCGTTCTCCATGAAATCAGTTCCACAAGGCTTTTAGATTAACTCATCTCTACACAGGTATGTTCCTTTGGTCTTTCTATGTATCTTTCTTTCACAGGACTTTCACCACAGGGGTACTGAATTAGCTGTTTCTAAAAGACTGCACTGTAATTTGGGGGACATATTTCTTTGTAAAATGGCTGCTTCTGAGAACCAATGAGATGGGATGCATGCCTTCATGCATTTGTGGCAGATTCTGTTGAATGCTTTTCTAGGCTTATGCCTAAATGGGTAGCTGCCTGGCTCTGTTGTTTCCACTTAACCTCCATATGGTCAACCAAGTATTCTGCCTTCCCTGGAAAGCTGCTCTTTAGAAGAGGAGGATAACTTAGCTTGGGGACAGGACTCCAGTCCCACAGTTGGGGAGGGCCTGTCTTTAGCTCAGGAAACTTCCTCCTCTTGGAAAGTTCAGTAAAAGTTCAGAGATAGGCAGACATCAATTGCAGAGCTAGTACCCTCCTGACAGACCCTTGTTGTTCTTCACCCACAGCAGGAGAGCTTATACTCAGAATCAGAGGAAGAATTGCCTCTTGGCTCTCCAGTGAGTTGCTGGCTCAAGAGGAAGATATAGACGCTTCCACAAAGAAGCAGTGCTCAACTGCTTTCTAAGGACTCAATAGACTGGTGGAGCTCTGCTCAGGAGCAGGACATTGTGGGAAACCACTGCCTGCCTGCAGCTGTGGGGATAACTGTATGGCTCAGCCAAACCAACGTAAAAGATCCAGCTCTTTTACGGTCCTAGTCTAGGCCTTTGAGGTTTCCAGATAGCCATCTGCTCTTCTCCTGAGCTTCCACTCCTTTCCCCCATCACCGAACGCGCTTTCCCAGCTTTTTTGCAGGAATGTTACTCATTCTAAAAGGATGAAATCCATCTCTTTAGTTAATAGCAGAAAATCCTTATGTTGGAATATTACTGTTATTGTTTGCTTTTTTGGCTCATCCCTTTTCTCTCTTGTTCTGGTTCTACTCACTGAATTGAAAGACCCTACACAGGTTGATAGAGGTATCCTACACCTATGTTGCATTTCTGGATGCTACTTCAAAGATGTTTCAGCTAGGAATGTGTGAGGAATCTATTCTGGGGATGGAATTTGTCAGATTCCCTGGGCTCAGCTCTCTGGACCCCCGTCCACTTTGTCATGGCCCTGGACCCAAGTTCCTGGCACATATGCCCAGCATTCATATGGTTCTTGCCAGGAACTGAGCCTCACATGCTGTGTAAATGGCATGGACAAAAGCTGCAGGACATTCAACCTTTCTTCTGCAAATATTCACAGAATGACTCCTAGAGGGATGGATTCTGCTGCATTTTGTCAACTCTATTTCCAGCCCAACATTTCCCGAGAAGGTTTGTCTACTTTCTGCTTAGGTATTCAGAGAGAGAAGGGGTTTTTTTGTGTGTGTGTGCTTTACTCTCTTTCATAATGCAGATCGAATAATTAGGGAGAGGCAAGAGGTCCTCAAGGATGAGCAAGGGCTTGAAAAGATCCAGAAGAAGAGACACCTGGACTTTTTTGATATTCTTCTTTGTGCAAAGGTCAGGGATGTAACCCACTTCACAAGAATCAATGGCCCTCAAAATTAAGCACATGCAAATGCCATCAAGAAGCTGTTCTACAATACCATGATAGTATGCGTAGCTGTTAAGCTTGTATTTTGCATATTAAAGGCTTTAGTGCAGTGGGTCTTAATTTTATTTTAATTCTGTATGCATCCTCTGTGTCTGAATTGAATAATTCCTTGTCTTCAAAATAAGACAAAGAAGAAACCCACAGAAACATTACAGGAAATTGTTAGTGGAACAATAGAGGACAACCAATAAAAGAAAAATAGAGCTTGGTACCAATCTTATGTAGGCACAGTAAAATACTCCTTTAATATTGCATTCTGGTGCTACCATATTGCTTCAAGTGGCATCCAGTTCTTGGTTTAAAAGTTTGTGTTTGCTTTTGGATTCACCTTCCGACTGACAGCGTCCTTTCCTTAGGAAGAGAACGGAATCCATTGTCTGAGGAAGACCTTTGTGCTGAGGTGGACACGGTCATGTTCAGAGGTCATTATACCACAGCCAATGGAATTTCTTGGCTGTTCTATTTTATGGCCCAAAATCCTGAACCCCAGCAGAGATGCAAGGAAGAGATAATAGAACTCTTTGGAGATGAGGTTAAAACTCATTTAGAAAAATTTGGAGAGATGATGGGCTTACAGGTTAATTGGGATAAATTGGAAATTATGTTTCATTGCAATGATGAAGAGAAGGAAGGAATTAGAAGTAAATTTCAAATTAAGGTATGTAAAATTATTAAATATTTAGGTATAAAGCAATGTTTAAAAAATAATATCTATGATATAGTGAAATGTGAAATAAAAGAGAAAATGCATGAATTTAAGAAAATAGGATTATCATGGTTTGGTAGAATAGCATTATGTAAAATGAAAATTTTACCTAAGCTTATTTTTTCGTTTGCGATATTTATTTATTTATTTATTTATTTAAAGCTTTTGTATGCCATTCTATTATACAAGATCTCAGGACGGCTTACAATATTATAAACAATTAAAACAACAATTTCAATAAATAATAAAACAGAGCAAAACAATAAATTGCAAAACAGAGCAACTGAACTTAAAAGCTAGATTTTAAAATACTGTTTAAATAAAAAGATTTTGGCTGGGTGCTGAAAAGAGTATAAAATTGGCACCAGGCCTTCTTAATATTACCAATTAAGATACTAGGAAAAGTATTGGAAGATTGACAAAACATGATTAATAAATGTTGTGATGGGTATAAAAAAGTGGGGATTGATTTAAAAAGTGGTATAAACCACAAAAATAATGAAAGGATTAGGTATTCCAAATATAGAATTTTATTATGTAGTGCATCAGATGAGACATATGCCATTGTATTACNCAGGCGCAAGCTCTTACTCAGAGTGGACCTTTAAGAACGTGATGGAATGGAACAGTGTAGCTCCTTCCCCATCAATGCAATGGAACTCCCGTAATTCCGTGAATGATGAGCAAGAGTGCACGCATTGCCTTATCTTGACGTTGTACTAATCCCAGTAATGGCAGATGTTGTAAAGGGCTCATAAATGGAATGCAGCCAACGGCATATGGAAACAGTTAGCTTTACCCTCCAATCAAAATCGCAACCCAGTGATTCTGGACAGCTCAGTTTTATGTTCACACAGTGGCTTCTACACACGGGGGACAGTGGTCTGATTCCTGATGAAACCAGTTGCGCCCACTCTGGTACCGTAAGCAGGATGTCGACGGATTGTGTTCTCACCTGCTGAGGCGCGAAATTGACTTGCCAATGGCAGGGCACTGTAACCCTCATCAATTGCACTGAATGGGAAATTTTTATACCACATTGAGATGTTCCCAGGAAACTGGGGCAGGCGCAAGCTCTTTCTCAGAGTAGACCTTTAAGAACGTGCTGGAATTGAACAGTATATCTCCTTCCCCATCAATGCAATGGAACTCCCGTAATTCCATGAATGATGACCAAGAGTGCACGCATTGACTTATCTTGACGTTGTACTATGCCCAGTAATGGCAGATGTTGGAATGGGTTCAGAAATGGAAGGCAGCCAACGTCATCTGGAAACAGTTAGCTTTACCCTCCAATCAAAATCGCAACCCATTGATGTTTGACTGCTCAGTTTTACATTAATATTGTCGCTTCCACGCACGGGGTACAGTTGAGTGATTCCTGATGAAACCAGTTGCGCCCACTCTGGTCCTGTAAGCAGGATGTCGACGGATTTTGTTCTCACCTGCTGAGGCGCGAATTTGACTTGCCAATGGCAGGGCCCTGAAAGCCTCATCAAGTGCACTAAATGGGAACGTTTTATACCACATTGAGATGTTCCCAGGAAACTGAGGCAGGCGCAAGCTCTTATTCCGAGTAGGCCTTTAAGAACGTGCTGGAATTGAACAGTATAGCTCTTTCCCCATCAATGCAATGGAACTCCCATAATTCCATGAATGATGACCAAGATTGCAAGCATTGCCTTATCTTGACGTTGTACTAAGCCCAGTAACGGCAGATGTTGTAAAGGGCTCATAAGTGGAATGCAACTTGTAGGGCCTTAAAACACAAATTCTGTTTTGAGTACCAATGGTACATTTACACTTGGTGCTCATAATACTGGCATACCTCCTTTTGAATAAAATGTTCCTTTACAACATGTGGGTTGTCATGTTGTGGAAACCCACCCAGTGAATAGATTGCTGTCTCCAGCATGGAAACTAAAAAGTTAGTATTTTTCATAATCTAAATTGAAAATTGACAAAACAATATGCCCAAGCATATTTCCAGTACATGCAAAGAGACTTATTTCTTATTAAGTGGAATTAGGATATTGTCGAAATGCATTAATTTTTAAAGTGTTTACGGTTTTAAAGTTTGAAAGCTTTTCTGGTGCATAGATTTAGTTCCAGTTTCAAAATGGCTCTTCAGCAAGGGCATCTCTCTGTGTAAGGGGCCAGTGTAAAGGATAAATCTTGCAAGAATGCTAGATACTAGTTGGTAGAAATAAGAAATTGACACAGTAGACTCTTAAGTTTTGTTGTAAGCATTAAGTATGCCCATTCTGTGATGGTGATTGTTCATATACATTGATACAAAGCATATTACTAAAGAGTCAGATTGAAATTGTGATAAACCGCTGTAAAAATCCTCTTTTTAAAATTACACTATGACATGGTGTGGTAAAGCAAGGATGGAAAGAGGTAGTGGGTGAACAAGTCCTGTGACTTATTTCTTGCTAAAAGAGACAGGATTCACACGGCAACCTATCATTGGATGTCTAGCCATGGTGGGTTGTCATGCCATGTAAACTTTGAACACTTCCTACAGAGTGGCTTGTTTTTCCAGGTGACCAGTTTTTTGGTTTGGTTCTCATTTAGATCACAACTTCTTTTGAGGTTACCATCTCCTCCCCAACATTTATTTCAAAGAATGCTTTTACTGATTTCTGAAGTCACAGTTGTCACTGGTGTTGATGGAAAAGAGTGTTGACTATGACCAGCATGTTCTCCTGACAAAATTATACCAGCCTGTGCCCTGCTTCATTTTGTACTCCAAGGCCAAACTTGCCTGTTAACCTGGTTATCTTTTGACATTCCACTTTAGCATTCCAATCCCCCATAATGAAAAAGACACCATTTTTTGGATTCAGTTTGAGTAGGTGTTGTAGGCACCGGTCAACTTCTGCCACTTCAGCATCAGTGGTTGGGGCATAGACTTGGACTACTGTGATGTTGAATGGTTTGCCTTGGATTCGAACTAAGATACTTCTGTCATTTGAGATTGTATCCCAAAAGTATGTGGATCGAGAACTACCAGAAGTACAGGCAGGGTTTCGAAGAGGCAGAGGAACTAGAGATCAAATTGCCAACATACTCTGGATCATGGAGAAAATTAGGGAGTTCCGGAAAAACATCTACTTCTGCTTCATTGACTATGCTAAAGCCTCTTATTTTGTCTCTTGAGAAACCTATATGTGGATCAAGAAGGAACCGTGAGAACTGTACATGGAACCACTGATTGGTTCAAAATTGAGAAAGGAGTTCGGCAAAGCTGTATACTGTCACGCTGCCTATTTAATGCAGAAATTTCTTACCATGAGAAAGGCGGGGCCAGATAAATCACAAGCTGGAATTAAGATTGCCAGGAGGAATAACAACCTCAGATATGCAGATGATACCACTCTTGTGGCAGAAAGTGAAGAGGAACTTAGGAGCCTCTTGATGTGGGTGAAAGAGGAGAGTGCAAAAGTTGGCTTGAAAGTCAAAATTAAGAAAACTAAGATCATGGCATGTGGTCCTGGCACTTCCTGGGGAAGAAATGGCAGTACTGACAGATTTTATTTGCCTGGGCTCCAAGATTACTGCAGATGGTGACTGCAGCCATGAAATTACAAGATGCTTGCTCCTTGGGAAGAAAGCTATGGCAAATCTAGACAGCATACTAAAAAGCAGAGACATCACCCTGCCAACAAAAGTGCATTTAGTCAAGGTTTTCTCAGTTGCAATGTATGGCTGTGAAAGCTCAGGAAGGCTGAGCGCCAAAGAGTTCAGGTCTTTGAATTGTGGTGCTGGGTAAGACTCCTGAGAGTCCCTTGGACTGCAAGGAGATCAAACCAGTCAGTCTTAGAGGAGATCAACCCTGACTGCTCTTTAGAAGGCCAGATCCTGAAGATGAAACTCAATACTTTGGCCGCCTAATGAGAAGGAAGGACTCACTGAAGAAGAGTCTAATGCTGGGAACAATAGATGGCAAAAGAAGAAGGGGATGATAGAGAATGAGGTGGCTAGATGGAGTCACTGAAGCAAGTTAGGAGGACTCTGGGGGATGGTTGAGGACAGGAAGGCCTAGAGGAATATTGTTCATGGGGTCGCGATGGGTCGGATGCAACTAACAACAACAACTCCTCAGCACAATACTGATTTTAAATTAAATTTTAAATAAATAAAATTTCATTAAAATAAATGGATCACTTTTTGGCAACGGACACAGATGCATGCATACATGTGCGCACACACACAGACCTAGGCAGAGACCACAGCAAAGGGAAAAAGTGTTAAAGCTTCATTCTTTAGAGTCCCCACCCTGACTGGGGCCCTTGTAACTCTGGAGCCATTGAATCAGATTATTTATGGTTACCACTGCTGTTTTGGATTTTTTATGGGATGATTCTATTTTAGTGAGTAGGTGTTTTAGAGTGCAGTCTCAAGGAATTTCTTCTCAATAGACAAGAGTATTCAGAGACCAGAGCCTTAGTGTTCCATGCTCTGCCAACAAGAGCCAGGCAGGATGGGAAAAGGATAAAGACAAAATGCTCCTCAGGGAAACATATAGTCACTCTGTTCATTCTTTTAAATGTTCTGTTGTCAGTTTTGTTGTCAGTTGCTCTGAGTCTCTTTTGAAAAAGGTGACTAACAGTAAAAACAACAGAGGGAGAAAAAGCAGCTAGCAGCTGCGTCTTTCAAGTAATGCAATTTTTGGCCATTATTTAGTAACATTGGTCTTCAGGGGTGTTTTTCAATCAAACAATACTTGATTTAGTATTAGCTAGGTCATCTTTAGAAAGGAATCCTCCTTCAGAGGACAGTGAGAAGGAGAACCTTTGGTACAAATAACCTGGCTGGTTTGTTTGACTTAATGGGACTCAAGTTTATTCATCATGTATTTTTTAAAATTTTATTAAAATTTTTAAAACTGATACTAAAAACATCAATCATTACATACATCGAATTTACTGGGTCAACCCCCTACTACATTTTTTTTAACATTCTATAGTCATATTTAAATCAATTTTTAACTTGAAAACATCTCCAGCCAATTATAAAAAAAAATCCAAGTTTGATAGAAAGTGTCTTTTTCTC